AAAGAATCCACTTGAAAGCAAGGTGAACAATGACAGATTCCCTTTGGAAGAGGTTTAAGTCCAGTCACTTGCACACAATAATACAAAATAAGGCTCAAAAAGACTTGACGTCCATGAGATACACGTTTAGCATGTTTACATTAATTTCTAATTTCATTGGCATAAACATAAAACATTAGTGGTCATAAAGCTTCTTTAAGTCAAGAAAGTCGAGTGAAATCGGTGAAACAATATCAAATGCTCGACCAAACACTTTTTGTCCACACCCAGCGGAAAGGTTTGTCTCCATTCTAAAGTGGATCGTCTATTTTCAAAAAAACGGAGTTACCTTATTTTTGAAAAGCCTTAATTTACACACAGAAACGCACACAAGGCAAAACATCTATTTTTCGCTCTCATTCCGTCGCAAATCTAAAAAACTGGGTAAGAGACATTCTTTATTTCAAATATTAATTTATACGATACAAATCTGTCATCAGTAAAGAGACACCGAGCTAAATGTTTCAAGGAAATGACACTCACAATAATCAGTCGACGGCATTTAACTATATTGTTGCTTCGATAGAAAAAGTCGCAATATAGTTGACATTAACAACTATTTATTACAATTTGAATCAATGATAAAAAGAAAAGGACAGCAATCAAATTATATTAGATCTGGCAAATCTAAGGACTTAGTGTATAAGAGCTAGAGTAGCACAGTATATTTCAGCTAAGAAAATAACCTCAATGTAAAATTAAATTTCCATTAAAACGTGACATGGGAAAGTCTTTGAAGTATCTTCGTAAGGAGTTGTTCTAATGTTTTGGTGTTGCTTAGTTACAGATAGAAGAAAACAAAAAAAAAGATGACCGCAAAAGGAAAAGGAAGAAATAGACACATTGAGAAAAACAAAAGATGACAGAAGAAAAGAAGTAGAAGAATCATATTCAAGGGGATTTCACAAGCTGATCTAGATCTTAGACTCTACGGCTACGTTTAATTTCATATTGTATTTACTATAGAATTAGGGGCCCAAGAACAGGGTAGTCTTTGAGGCGATTAGCGGCACGATTTTTGGTACCACAACGATTTGGGGGTGGATAACGGAAATTCCGTTTGGGAAGCGAAACTACACATTACTCAATTCCTCTATAAATATTTACAATTAACTCCCGCCCTTCGCAGTGGGTATTAAGGATTCAGTTTAACGAAAAACTGTGTGCCGGTAAATCAGTCCACTGCAATTCCAGAAACGTGTCGTAGGGTACACGCGTTTTCCGAACTATAAAAGCCTTTTCCCCTTCGGAATTGTCAACCAGATGGTTGGTGTAGTTAGTTGCTTGTGAAAAAAAGATATTTTGACAAAAAACACTCTTTTCTCTTTTAAAATTTTGAGGCTTCTTTTGACCACTTTTGGAAAGCAGTATTTGCAAGGTGGACAACTCAGGTACATTCTGACAAATTTGTCCAAACTAAGTCAGGTTTCAAACCAGAAAGATGAAAATTTTAAGACTAAGAGATCCGGGGATGAGAGGGTAAAGAAAAGAATCATCACAGCTTGTTTTCAGGAAATCCCGTTTAAAACTGCCGGAACAAGTTTCGCGGCGGTATTTATCACTGTTGAGATGTCAGCCATAGTTTTTTTAGCAAGACATTGCACTCATTATCGCAGAAACGAGTTTCCACATTTAGCACTTTTTAGACAGTTAGTCGAACCAACAATCTAACAGCAAACAAACTTCTCTTTTTCTTTAACAGTTATTTAAAAAAGGGGGAAATCACATTTTTCACTTAACACGATGAGGGAAGAAACTAAAAGAGTGGGATTGGAAAACTATCCTAACCTTTTTCTTTTATTTAGAATTCGAAGTTCCCTGCTTGTGATCTGTCGTACACTCATATTCAGATTTAAAAGTTGGAAATGCGGGTTCACTGAGCAAACATTATCGATTGTTGAGTGTTTCGAGTTTTATTGCGAAAACGTATGTTAGCTTGGTCATCTTTTTCAAGCAGCTCAAATTTTGGTATAAAAAGTTGACAAAGACGACTACCAAGCGATAAATTGTTGACGGAAAAGATGCAAATTTCGCGTCTTTGCGTTATTGTCTTGGCGTGTGTGTGGATAGACTACCAGAAATTCTCTGTTTTCCTTAGGGACAGTAGAGTGAACAAAATTCGCGAGCGCAGTGAAAATCGTCACTCGAGAGCAATGAAATTTAGGACTAAATAATTTAAGAACGTTTCCTGTTTCTGCAAAGTCCAGGACTCCTAAATTCTGCTAATGTTGAAATTCAAAACAACAAATATTGCCTCAGTTTTCCTCTAAAATAAAAGATTTCCTGTTACCTTAACCATATTTTCTTTGCCTATATTTCCTCACTGTTATTTCCCTTTTCACATTACATTGTTAGCCAAGCCTTACAAATTTCTTGAGTATATTGTAATATCATGTTATATTGTGTTAAGCCACTGTAATTTATTGTGTAAAATGGCAAAAAATATATAGACTTGTCTAGTGTAGACAAGGGTGACAAGAAGTTTCAGTGGAACAGGGGAAGAGTGAGAGTATGTATGTACATCTTAGGAATTCCACCTCCATCTCTCCTCCCCCCTCCCCTCTTCTAACTTGTGTGCAGGCAAATCTCCAGAAGCCTGTTTGTCTAAAGTCCGTGTAACACGTTTTAAAACTAGTACTAACTGACGGTTAGGGAATGCAGGCCAGATTGGTTGAAGGTCAAAATGCTCTTGCTCAAAGGCTTTAGTTAGCATATTAAGTTTCATGCGAAGGAATGACAAAACATACCTGATTAGTTTACAAGTGATAGAAGGACCAAACATGTATGGTCAGATTTCCTTCCATGCATTTCATGCATTCTCAGTTGAAGTTAAAACAAACGCAGGCTAATAGCAGCATGGAGATTAGGACTGTGGGCTCCTCTGGTTGCCTGCAATAATTTTAAAACAAGTTATCACTTTCACACTACCCTAATTTATTTCTCCTTTTTCTCTTTTATGGCATTATACACTGTACTTTCAAATCATTAAGACATACCCCACTTTCAAGAAATGTTATACAGGACCATCTTGAACTTTAAGGCTGAATATCTTTGGAGGTATATCTTTGCCATGAAATTAAAATATGCAAGGCAATATGAATAAAAAAATATTCACCTTGAAACATTAAAGAGTGGAAACCCAGTTTTTCGAACCACCTTAGAAAGTGAATTGCCTTGAATAATAACTGGGAGTTTTAAAAATCTAGGGGTGTATGATACAGTATTTGACTGGTAAAGGGAAGTTTAGACTACGAGCAGTCTCCCTTTTTTGTGTAGTCTGTGGAGCAAAACGTGAGACACGCAAATGGCCACGCATGTGTCTGATGGCGGGAGACGGGAGAGGCACGAAAAAAGAGAGTCTCTCTTCTTTCTTCTCGGGCTGCCGCCCTCATTTCTCGCGTCTCGCGGCTCCGCCGCTCCCGCGCGCGTGCATTGCTCTCACTTAATCTGAAGAAAAAGAGAGACTGCTCGCAGTCTAAGGGAAGTTACATTTGTTTTATATATAAATCAGAAATTTCAAAACAATGAGGGTTCAAGACAGAAATCAGGATTCTTCTACACAACTACATCACCAGAATGATAAATAAACACTTTGTTTGATGAATTCTTGTTTGATGAATTATGTTCCTTTTGCTCCAAGGGAAAGAAAGAGGAGAGCCGGGGGGGGGGGGGGGGGGTTTATACTAAATTAATAACATACTTTGTTGGTGTGGTAAGTTTTTGTTGTGTTGTTTTGTTGTCTGGCTCAGAGGGGGAAAGAGGGGGGGGGGGGGGTGGGGGGGGGGGTTACTTGGGTTAATTTTTGCTGGGTATGTGCTGCTGACCTCTCAGAGCCCCTACCCCATTATAGTCTATTCTGCGGCCAGTTATAGACCCCATCAAGGTTACTTTTGGGCAAATGTGTTATTTTCCCAATCCCAACTTAGTCACTTTCTATTAATGTATTTATGTTATATTGAATGAAGAACACTTTACTTTTCACCTACAGTACAAACATTTTGGTACGTTTGCTAACCATAAATATGAAGAACTGTTCCACCCCAAAAATCCTGAGAAAATGTGCGACCCCATTCTAGTAACCCTATAGAAAATGCCACCCCATTATAGTCAATCCAGTCGTGAAAATGTGGCCCCATCCAGCGGCACATCCCAATAATTGGGAAATTATGGGAAATTGAGAGGCTAATTATTAGCCTCCTATAAGGAAGTACCCTCCCCTATGCTAAGGGGAGGAGAGACCCTGGGAAATTGGAAGCCAGGAGTGTCCCGATATAGCTATGGGTGTTTATAGGTGTTACAGACTTGCTGGTATTTTAAGACCCTTATATCACAAGCCACTCTCTATCAGACAACGTTCAGCTGCATTTTGCCGCCCAAATCTCAACTATAGACTAATGTTTTCCTTTTCGACAATTCTCTGTTTCACATCCCTTAGCCCAGGCTATAGTCTAGACCTTAACTGCTTAGAGTTAAGCACATCCCCCATTGGGCCATGGCAGCACTTAACCTCCACAGCCCCACCCTCCCCCCACCCCCCGCCCCCAAGCAGTTTGTTATTTAGCCTTAATACACAACCGTCACAGGCATTCGTTCATTTACGAAACCTGCATGTAATGAACCACAGCAACTTTGGGCAAAATCATCTCACTGTCAGAACAAAGACTATCCCCCTCAAATTCCTCCTCCTCTGAGCGCAGGTCTGGGCAAAGGTTATCTTTTCCAGGGCATTGGACAAATAGCGCGGATCGATAGATTATCTTCTCCAAGGCTTTTAAAGCTTACCTGTATTAAATTTCGAGCTAAAAATTCTGTGGAGGTCTTTTGGAGGCAAGAAAAGGCGGAATGTACGATGTGATCAGCGGTTTGACTACCCGTCATGTAACTTATTAGTAATTCATAACATCCGGGACTTCAGGGATTGTTTCCCCATCCTCCTTTGAGGGTGGTGCGTTTTATTGCTCGTTTGGCGGCCATATTTAGTGGTTCAGAAGTAACGAGGAAACTTTGAACCCCCCTCTAAAACAATTTCCAAAACAACCACTTCCGTCCACAACAAATGAGTGAAAACTTACTTCCTGTTGAGCCGAGGAAAAAACAATAAGTTTAGATCGATTTGTCATGGACCTTGGAGAAAATTCCACTTTGCACGCCGATACAGCGCTGGAAAATGGAACAACGTGCGCCACGGCTACTGCCTTAGCGCAAGTGCTGGACTCGCAAGCTATCTCTAGTACCTCTCTCGCTACCTTCTCTGTCACCTCTGTTCCCGGCTCGGCAGGTTTGGCTGTTTTAACTCCATCTCTTGATGGTACAACAACTGTTACGTCTCTGCCAGGTTTTACGCTGTCTAGCTTTGATTCGGTGGACGTGAAGAATGTCAGTGAAGCCAGTGAATTAGCTGTTGCAACTGTAGGGGAAGATGGCAGGTTTGTTCCCAAGGATTAAGTACAGTACGTATATATATGATATGCTTGAGCTTATGTAAAAGTCGGTAAGATAGAAATTAGCTCAGTCTTAACTTGTCTTATGTTTTCAGTAATTGAAAACTGCATGTAGTTATATTTTGACTGAGACTTATAATATCCATAAATCTTGCATTTTACATGTAAACAAGTGATAAACTATATTCAGATGTACATCAGTAAACTTGCACTTCAGACATAAGCAGCATGCTGTAAGCTTTGGTTGTAGTTGATATATTAAACTTTTTGATGATGGGATCGACCCTAGCCTGCATGGTCCTCCAAGAATCAGAAGATTTGATCAATCTTTATACAGTCTCACAGTCACTTTGACTCATGGCTGAATGTAGACAGTGCAAACTTAGAGTCTGCTGCAAGCTGGTAAAGACATGCCACCATTGGGAACAACTACAAGTCTTAGCCCATTACTGGGATGCCAACCTCTGCAAAGATTTTCGCTTTTGCACTACCCCAACTTCCACGGCTTTTAGTTAGAATAGATTTCCTATTTTTGTATACATATGTAAATTTGATAATATTACCTTGTTTAAATAAAAATTTCCTTCCTCCCCTCCTTCCCCCTTCACAAGTAACTCACAATATCCAGATACCCACTCATGACCCTAACAGAGCCCTTTTTTCATGAACATTAATCTTGTCAACTAGACTGAGAGTTTTTTGGCCAAAGTTACAAAATTTGACAAAAATGGCAAAGGCATGTGAAAAATTATGAGCCAAGAAGTGTGGCAAAAGCATGACATGACTCTGAGAAACATAATAATTTTGGTGGGATCTGAGACTGAAATATGCTTTGCCCGGCAGCATTTCATTCTTGCTTTTAATCCATGTAGCCTCCATTTTGCATCGGCCACTCACAATGCAGTTACCAGTTATCATGCACCACAAGGAAGCCAGTCTTTGCAAACATCTGAAGCTGATTTTGTATCAGACCTTAGTCAAGGTGAGTTTTGACCATCAGTCTGAGGTGTAGACACATCCCTAGTTGAACTGCCGACTCCAAGGCAGTATGCTCATTGACCAGTAGTAGATCTAGAGGACAGGCCCTGGGGCCCAGTATAACCTTCTTTTATGGTCTGAGGTGTCAGTCATCTGTTTGCAACCCTCCCCTTCCCCCATTGGGGGAAGGGGTGGGTACAGAGATGGCTGATGTTTCAGACTACAGTTGAACCTCCATTAAGTAATCATCCTTGGGGTACTGGTAAGTGGCTGCTTTATAGAGGTAGCCTGCAGTGCAGGCATTTTCTTTGGGTGTGCGAATGTTTTTGCTCGCAAAAACGCCATCTTGAAACTCCCGAAGAGAGGAGGAAATGGGATGAGTCAAAGGAAGTGGGGGAGGGGGTGGAGAGAGAGAAGAGAAAACATTTTTTTGTCCCCTCCCCTCCCCCTTTCCTTGTTTTGCCTTAGCACCTACCCTAAGGGTTGCTACTTTTACTCTCCCTAATCTTCCTCCATCATAAAATCAAAGATGCTGGTTACAACAATACGAACATAAACAAGCAGCTTTCGCCCACCCAAAATACGCCTACACTGCAGGCTATTATAGAGGTTGGCCACTCCATAAAGATTCGTCATAAAGTCATGAAATAAACATGTGACGGAAGCAGCATTTACTGGTCCACAATCAGTCATTACCTTCTATTGCGGACTATTCCTCCATATTTTAAAAATAAAGTCACTACAAGTGTATCAGGCACTTGATGACAGTGTAATAGAGGTGACAATAAAAGGAGCACTCTCGTTGATTTAAAATACTTTTCTACACTTATTTCAGGACTTGGAACACTGGCTGCTAATTAATAGAGGTTCAGCTGTACTTAACTCTTATTTTAGACATTAAAACTGAGACCCACGGGACTGAGGTGCTGAGATCCTTTTTTTCCACTAGAGAACACACCCATCTTACCTCAAGGTCCATATCCTCCCTGTGCAAATTTATGGGGATGTAGGAGGGAAGGGTGGGTTATGATCATCAGGAATTTTGAAGAAGAAATTACCGGTATACATGCTGTTCTTCCAAATCCTTCTCTAATTTATGATTTCAGTGGAAATTCTGAGTGGAGGAGAGAGTGAAGGAGGTTCTTTGGAGGAAACTGTCTGCCAAGAAACTCAAACACCCCAAGCTGTCTCAAACTCTCATGGTGATGTGGAGAAGTCAGTGGTAAGATTGTAATGTTTTAGTTTTGACAATCGTGCAAATATTAATATTGGGATACTGAAATCTAAAATGCTTTACATGTACGTTTGCTTTAATCGTACTGAATTGTATCCTGGGGGAGGAACCCACTGCGCCAGAAGAACGACAGGGATGCTTGTCGCTTTTTAGAAGTCGGATTATTAGGAGACCAATCTGGGCGAGGATTGAGTAGAGAATTTAAGATAACTAGAAACAAGTGTTAAACTACTCTTTTGGCTGTCATTTTTAGAAAAAGAAAGGTGGTTGGCCAAAGGGAAAGAAGAGACGAAAGACATTCCGTGACAGCAATGCACCCAAAGCTCCCCTGACTGGGTATGTGAAGTTTCTCACTGAACAACGAGAGAAGGTTAGGGCAGAAAACCCCGAGTTGAGTTTTCCTGAAGTAACAAAGTTACTTGGTGCCCAGTGGAGTAAGTTGTCTTCAGAAGAAAAGCAGGTTAGAACATGTTTTTGTCCTTCTTCTTGTTTCTTTAAGACAATAAACAAATAGTGGCAAAAGAAAATATTTGCAAAAAAATTCAAATATTCTTTTTTTAGTAAAATCCTAAGAAAAAATGGTAATATGCAGAAGTTTTATTTGAATGGTAACACCACATGACTTCGTCCCAAGATATAAATATTATAATCTTGCCATAATAATCTTGATCTAGTATTGAAAGGTTAAGCTGGTACTTGTGTAAGGTGGCCAAAATTACATGTCAGTCTATGTGACCTCTAGGCTAAATCTTTGCACCTGGCAAAAGGCAATATACACATGATCATGCTTGTGCTTTTGCTGTTTTTTTTTTAGCAGGGAGGGGGGTGTTCAAGTTTAACTTCTGGTTCGCTAGGAATGATAATCTCATTTCGCCCTTTCTGAAATTCAAACAAATGATTTTTAAACTACATGTATGCTCTTTCACCCATAATGGCAAAACTCCAACCTCTTGGACAAACCAGAGGGATCGCTTATACTTTGTTGCTAGGTGCATGGATACATTGACTTATAACTCTAAGTTGTTTTATAATGACAGTTCTGTAAATAAGCAAATGTCCCTGTATTATTCCACGTTTACATATAACCTACAATCTCAGACAAAGACCTTGCATCACTTTGGAAAAATTTCGCTCCGTTCCGTTTCCCCCTCCCTTTTGCGTTGCAGACGGAAAGGGAAGTGAATAAGTGTTTCGAGGATTTTTAGCGAGGATTGTAGCCTTCACCAGCAGCTAATGACAATATTTTTTTACTTTTTCTCTAAAGAGATACTTAGATGAAGCAGACAAGGACAAAGAGAGATACATGTTGGAGTTGGAAGCTTATCAGAAAACGGATACTTACAGAAGCTTTTTGAAGAAGCAAGCAGAAAGAAAGAGAAAACGTTAGCTACTCTTAGTGACTCTTGTAGCCTGCGTATCAAGCGTTTCCGCGCGAGTTCGTCGAGAAAGTTGGGAAGAGTGCAAAAAATGGTCTAACTTTCGCGCAATAACTCGATTGGAAACGCTTGCTACGTAAGCTACTACTCTTGTTCTATTATTCTGGTCTAATCATAATGAGAAGTGGAAGACGACTGCTAGGCGAAGACCGAGTAGATTCTTATTGAGTGCTCATTAATTGTCTTTTCACCGGTTTGTTAAGTAGTTGTGATCATTAGAGTCAATGCCATCAAACCTCTTCCCATAAATCGCCTAAACAAAGTATTTCAGTTATTTTCAAAAAATAATTATTAGCTTCGCCTTAAAAAGTTCCTTCCCTAAACAAACCACGTAAGGTAGACCACGCTACCAGGATCTAGTCTTCTACTAGGCCAACTCTCCTCGAACAGCTATGTTGGTACTTTTATGTTCCCTTGATAAGGAAGGACGAAAACACTAAAAAATTGACCTGTTATTGAAATTGTTTCTTATAAAAAAAAATGAATTTTGTAACCCGCAAACAAATCCAGCCCAAGCAGTCCCTTAGGAATGACGCGCGGGAGAGCATGTTAGGGACCTGGCTGGAGTTGCGATCGGAGTTTGAACCTGCAGCCTTCCGCGGGTGTGCCACAGACCGGCGCCTTCCAACTGAGCTACTAAGAAGTGGACTTGCGCTTTTTAGTTAAACGTCGTTACTATAAAAACGTGTCACCGTCCTCAACGGTAAATCTAGCTAGTTCCAGGCGTTCAGATAGTAGAGCGCGGCGGTCAGTGGGGAGCTAATTAAATTGTACACCGGGTCTCCCCTCGTTTTTTTTTTTTTTCCTTCGTGAATGTTTCTCCCGCGCTCTACTATCTGAACGCCTGGAACAGGCTATGGTAAATCGCTGATTTGTGTTCGGTGCTCCCATTCGTAAAGCCTGGGAAAAAGGAATAATCGTGGTAATGGGCATGTGTGATGAGTACAAAGAATTAGTAATTGGCTATCCTTTGTTTTTGAACGAGATGCCCAACGAGTGTTTCAAATAACTGTCTCCTAAATGTCATTTCTTTCCTTTTTTCAGATTTAGAGAACCCCAATGGATTCGACTCTATTTCAAACGGAATCGAGGTAACAACGGCTATTCTGTCTGCTGAATGAAGAAGTGGCATCCACGTCACGTGATGTCATTTTTTTTAAGAGAAGAATAACTCTTGTCTTTGACCCACGTTTGTGATACTCCTTATATCCGAGCCTACTAAAGAGTTTTATTTATATTATGACTTCATTAAAACGAAACATTCAAAACTCACGCACCTTTTTATCGTGTCGTCTGTAGAAATAATGTAACTGACGCTGAAATTAAATTGCACTAATTGAATGTATACTGAAAACGATGTTTGTAAAAGTGGACTGTTTGTGGTCTCATGTAGCTCTGTGCAGAGGACGATCTCTATTGCAAGCCGTGCAATCAGTACTTCAACAACCTTCACAACAAGAGAGAGCACATTCTTGGCCGAAAGCATAAGCAAACAGTATCAGGAAAGTTAAACGAAAGCGAAGAAGAGGAAGATTTACCAGGATTTAACGCTCCCGTCTTCACTGAAGAGTTTCTAAAACACAATGAAAGTAAGTGCTGTTTCCTGTTACCCACGACCAACCTCTCTTTGCTTTGGAAAAAGCCTACTAAATTACTTCAGATTCTACCTAAAAAGAAGAACACTGACAGTCTGTTTATGTGAGGTGAGTCGGCCCAGTCTTAGCCAAGTCTGACTGGATAAGAACGTGGAGCTTAGTGTAAACGCACTTGAGCAAAGTCCACTAGCTGAGCGCGTTATTTCTAGTCTCGATGCCTCCGAGGAGATGAACTTTGAAAGCATCAGAGTCGATGAGAACCATAGTCTCATTTCGCGTTTAAAATTACCTCTGAATACAAACACCAAGTACCCAACCTAAAATATATTATTAATATATTCACAAATGCCAGGAGGAAGAAGCCTGATCTTAAGATAGAGGCTAACCCTGTAAAAATTCATCTTGATGCCTTTTATTAAAGCGGTCATGACACAACTCGAAACAGATTTATTAAAGTTTTTATGAACACTAATGAGAACCAGGTAAAAGCATTAAAACTTGCGAGTTGATAGGAGCGTATCAGTGAGAATTGTGAAGGCAGCGCTTAAGGTCCAAGTCTGAATAAACGAAGACTAAGCAGATCATCTGCTTCTGAGTGTACACGAGTGGAAGAGAGGACATGACTTTTGCATTTAAGGAAGAGCTCATTCAAATCCCGTCATCTTTTGAAACTCTCGCGATTAACTAAGTTGGTTTCCCCTTTTGCATTTCAGTGCGTGAAGATGAACTAAGACAACTCCGCAAAGCGGCAACAGAATTTGAGGAACAAAATGCAGTCAGTTCCAAACACGTGGAGAACTTAAAACAAGCAATAGCAAAAATCGAAATGGAAACAAACCAACAAAGAAACGCGAACATGGTTTTACATAATCACTTAAGTAATCTCCGAGCTGCGCTTGTTCAAGCTTTTGCGAACTTGGTCTTGCCTGGCTCAAACGAGGTGCCAACGTTAGATACTATAGACTCTTACATGGCAAGACTGTATTCAGTCATTCTGGATTCTCCTCAAGAGAACGAGGGACTCATCACCAATGTGCGAGAGATTGTGTCTCGTCTTGGCGGCTTTCCAAAGTAAGTTGGGTGTGGTACATAATTTGGTGTAGAGTTAAGACTCAAATAGTGCCGACGTCAGAGTTTCAGAACCTTTAAGCTTCATGATTTTTGTTGTTAGCCTGCGCAGCTGGTGGGATTCTCGGCAGGTAGCTGTATTTCCCACGGGTAGCGAATCCGACCTTAAAATTATAAATATTTATCATTACCCACAATACGTTTGACATTGCTGATGCATTCCAAGCACTATGTAGAACGCGTGTCGCCCGCGCACCCCACTAAATGGCGCAAAATGCCCCCCCACCCCCCGTAGCTCAATGTTCACGTCATCAACCCTGTAATGTATGGGGGAGGGTTTTGGTATGAGGTCTAGCCCCCTTTCCTCTGCCCTGCACATGTTCTTCACAGTACATCGCGAAGTTCTAAATGTAGGAGTTTGCTAAAAACCTCTGAAAATGTCCACCTAAAGCGTCACATTACTATAGTTTAAAAACTTGACTTTTCGAGCGGTTTCAGTTTTCAACGTATACTGTTATTTACGTCTATTTTTTTTCCCTTTTTGCAGCGATGCGGACAAAGGTTTGAGTTTATCGGAATAGAGACGAAAAACTTCGCATGTTTTCATCATGGAAGGGACGTGCTTCCCCAGCGAAGCTTTCGGAGTCTTTCTCTGGCCACACGACCAGGAAATGATAAATAATACCGCGACCATCAAAGGTGCTGCATGGTGCTGTCTGTGTTTTAAGGTTGTGCCATTCCCCTTGTTAATCGTTGGGAAAAGTGAAGAAAAACTAAAGTTATTATTTGTCTCAAAAACAAACTTAATTGGTTTAGATTATGGTCGGTTTGGAATGTGTCGACTGTGATTACGGCACAAGTTGGAAACAGTGCAGTTAGACTTGTCAGATGCTTTCCACAGCTCTACCAGTGCAAAAGTGGTTTCTCTTTATACTGGTTTCATGGATCCTTTGACGCAGTTGTTTAAAATTATTATTTAAATTTTCAATATCGTCTTGTTTCTCACGCTGTAGGGAACAGCAACGAAAAACAAAAGCTGTAAAGCCTTTGTGAAGAAAGCATGCGGGCATGCGAAAGTAATAATAACTACAGGATATTAATCTCTGGTACGCAAGTGCCAGGTTTCATAGTTTTACTTCAGACAAAACGACTGCTTGGGAAGCTAAGGGAAGGTCAAGCCTTTTCATGCACCGAGTATTTCCAAGAATTATTCCCCTAATCGCGAATGTCAAGGAATCAGCGGTTACCCGACCGCACTGCATCCCGGGACATAAATATCCTCGTGTTTGGCTCCGACAGAATTCTTGACTCAGTAGGAAAGCTTGTGCGTCGTTTGTTGGAAGGATACATGCGTTGTAACGTTAAATGGTGAGACGAGGACTTTACTCTTAGTTCAAACTTTACTTAGAGTCTCGCTAAACTAACAAAAGTAAGTTACAAGACAAAAAGAATGTTGATAAAGATTTTCAGACGGCTAAGAGACAAAATAAAACTTCGTTTCTGACCGCCCTTTGTTGTTTGTCTGCACTTTAAACCTTTTGGATTTGTAATTCCATTCAAACCTCGGGTGTTATGTATTCTCCTCAATTGTTACAAACTTTGAAAAGCACAGCTTTTATCTTTTCCGTTATTCTGAGTTCGCTCGCCGTATAGTTATAACTGAGGAAAAAAGCCGGCGTCCAACATATGGTACTTTACTACTCATGCGCACCTTCACAAACTTAGCAAACTAAGAGCAAACTAGAGTCTTCCACCAGCGTAACGCTAAGCTTGGAGGCCTGAGCTAATTCACTGAGGGACCGGAACTGGTTAAAGCAAGCAAGCTGCGCCTCCCTTCAGGCCCTACTTTTCCCACCTTGTCTTCCGTGTACTTTCTCGTATCCGACCTGTGCCCCACTAAAGAAAAAATTCACAGGAAATCTCTCGAATCTTGACTGAGCCCTGGATTTTTCCGCGCCACCATCATTTCGCGCACTTTTTTCCGGTCTTTTTCCGGGTAAGCCCGAGTCCCTCGCGGTCGACACCTCAGGAGGAAATGAACAGGAGGAAATATTTGCCGCTTCATTAGTGCGTTTCTAACCGACATTACAGGAAATACAGAATAGTTTGGAGCTTCGACTTTCTTGCAAGTAATTTCTGACCAAAATGGAATTCCGTGCAGGGAAAAACGTGGTAAGTTAATATGAACAGTTTATTTGCATAAGAGAGTCAGTTAATTAGACCGTCATGCGTCGCTTGTTTGAACAGCGTGAATTCCACGTAGATGACGAGCATGATTTAGGATTCACCTTTAGTACCTTATAACCTAGCTACTGTATTTAGATAAGTTTTCGAACCTTTAAATTTTAAAATTGGAGCCATCTGTCAAGAATTGTGTCCTTTATGTCACCATTGAACTGTCTGAGGCTGTTAACCAGCGACTCTTACTTTCCTCCCCAACATTTAAACTTCTCAAAATATTATTTCCGTCAGGAAATATACGAAAAAGATAATAAACAAAATTTATTTGCCCTCAAAAGTAAATCGCAAATCACCTGTAAAGCGGTCAACCAGCGGGGGGAGGGGATTGTGATGGGGGGCTACTGATTCAAGCACACTCAGTTGAGCACATCAAAAGTCTTTTTTTTTTGTTACACTCCGTATGATATATCAATAAAAGTACTGTTAGTGGTATGAACTGATAGTTGTCGACTGCTTTTAAATTGACTCTTTCAGCTCACGTTGAAGAATCTGGCATTTTATGCGTTGACTACAACGGACAAGAGAAGCGGTCTGAGCCGTCTTCAATCAGCTTGCGTTTTAGGGGACGTCGAAGCCGTCAATGTAATCTTGAATTACAGTCCAGACAAACTTGACAGTGCTATAGCACTGAGTATCAAAACTAGCCACCTCGCCCCCTTTTTCCCTGACGAGCCTGTTGTGACTGTTTTGGGACAACTTGCTCAAGAATCTCCACCTCACAAGCTTATCAACCAACTTGTTGAAAACATTGTGAATATACTTGACGCTTCCCTTCTTCACCTGGCTGCAAAAACGGGCAACGCCCAGCACCTTCAAAGGCTTCTTGATAATGGCGGTGATGTTGACTCAGCGTCACCAGAGACGGAAAATGGAGCCACGCCCCTGATGCTAGCGGCTAGGTTTAATGATGTGCACGTTGTGGAATTTCTTGTCGAAAGAGGTGCCTCTTTAGAGAAACACGATAATCAAGGTTACTTTCCTATTCATCATGCTGCATTCGGTGGCCAAGCGGGAAACATAGCACGCTTGATAGGGTACGGAGCCGATGTCAACGTGTTGAAAGAGCGAGAGCAATGGTGGTCCGTCAGTGATCAATTATCGCCTATTTTTTTGGCTGCCGAGTATGGTCACTTGGAGGCTGTTGATGTTTTGCTGAAGCACGGTGCTGATTCGAATAGTCCTAGTAGATATGGTGTCACACCTCTTCATATAGCTGCCACCAATGGCCATCTGGAAACCACACAGCTGTTACTTAGAAATGGTGGAAATTTAAACAGCAGAGATATCGAGGACTTTTTGCCACTTCATCGTGCCGCTGAAATGGGGCATACAGACGTGGTGAAGTTCATTCTTCATAATGGTGGAAGTATAGCAACAAGGACTGGTGATGGGCAGACACTCCTTCATTTGGCCACTTGTCTGGAACTAGTGAGTTATCTTATTCAGAATGGCGCTGATGTTAACGCGCGAGACCACAGGAGACTGACCCCATTGCAAGTCGCTGCGGAAAGAGGGCAAATTGACACTGTCAAGTATCTTTTGTCTCAAGGTGCAAATATCAACCTCCGGGATAGGTTCGGTTGCTCAGCTTTGTATGACGCTTTGAAAGGAGGCCATACTGCGACTGCTGACGTTTTGATCAAAAGAGGCTGCGAATTGAAGCTTGTGAACGATGAATGCTGTGCGAAGAATCTTATCCCGCCATTGCTGTTAAAAGCAGCTTCAGAAGGTCGCACAGATCAGTTAGATCTTCTTTTCCAAACCGGGATATCTGTAAATACAAAAAGCATTTCTGGAGAAACCGCTTTAAGAGTCGCAGTTCGGCGTGGACACTGTTCTACAGTTGCGTTTTTGGTAGACCGAGGAGCTATCATCGATGAGGACGACACTCGTGAAGATCTCCCTGATGATGATAAGGAAGAAAACTACGACAGCTGCAATGACATCAAGCAGCATCTGCCCTTATGTTGGATAATGAAATTGGGCCAAAGTGGTGAATATTTGCCTGACTTTTTAACAGAAAGAAGAGCTTTTATTATTCAGTAAAAATGGTATTTGTTCTATAGATCTTCCCATGGTTCCCAATATTCAATACAACAAATGGTGATTCCACCAAAAGAACGTCTAAATAAGTACTTTTTAACTTGCAAGTGGAAAGAATATTTCAGTTTACACTGAAATAAGGATATACATTTAGGTTTCAACGCTTCGTTTCCTGGGCCGGGTCAGCTCAAAGCTGGATTAAGATAGCCTAGGGTTAGTGCGAAATTTGAATTCAGATATGGAAGCTTAAAAAGCAAATTCAGTTTAATTCTTTTTGCCTATAATTTGATGAGTGGATGCTCTAAAAAGAATAATGAAATTTATTCCAGAAAATGCTTTTGAACAAAAGAAAAAGAATCCCGGATTAAAATTTAACCTCAGGCTAGCGCTATATAATCGGCCTTCGAACAATTGGACCCTGCGCTTTATCGCGTTCGACGAGGAGAACGCATCCTAACCTGTTTGGGGTCGACTGTGTCACAAAGCGGTAATATTTTTTTCGTTGTGCGCGCACGTTATTCGTGTCCGCTTTGAGCAGTTGACGGGCCGTTTTGAATTAATAAGTACACTTCGAGATCTGCAACCGATTTTCTGGACTAATAAGCAATTCTCAAATATGAACACAAAATTGCTATAATTTGTCTTTCGTCTAGGGAACCACTCCATAATTATCTGTACATTAAAACAGGTAGACACATTTCAAAGATTGCAGTGAATCGGTCAAACATGTCGGAACATGTAGTCAAGAAATCTGTAATCAACTGAATAACAACACAGGTTTTTTTTTCTCTTGCCCTTTTGATTTAAATTAAGACATACCGTAACGCTTAGAATTCTGTAATAAGGTAGCAAACAAATATAAGTTTTTCAATGATGACGGATTTAAATATCACTTTTAAACAATGTCCCTAAGTAATGGTGTTGATCTTTTGTCTCTAGTGGTCTTAGTGTGGCTATGACTCTCAGGTTTAAAATTCCATGGCAAAAATGAACTTATTTTGATATCAATCCAATAAATTGTTATGTGGCGATTTCCTTTTTGCAGTATTTTATGTTAGTTGTTAATGATTTAATAAATGTACCTTGTAAAACGGAAAGTATAGGAATGCGTTATTGCTGCCGGAATTACCACAAATAGAGTCACGGCTGCAGCTCTGTGTAGGATCCCTACGAAAAAGGAGATGTAGCAACCCTAGAGAAAGTGCAGCGTAGGGCCGCACACTTCGTAAAAGGCGACAACAAAAGAGAATCCAGTGTCACGCAAATGATATGCGATCTCGGATGGCAGCAGAGCCTCGAAGCGCGCCGCCTATCCCTGATGTACAAGATTGCCCACGGCCTTTAATTGTAGACGGCGTTAAAAGTCAGGGAGTGTTTACAAGTGAAAACCGAACAGGCGCGAGTTTCATACCGGGATGACTTTTTTATTTCGTATCGCGTTTACATTATGACTGGGTCATTTCATATCTCGTTATTTGAAGATACACTTCATGTTGAGATTCAAAATCACAAACATTACGCATGCGCTACCCGTTCCAGTCTACCAGCAGACCGATTTCACACCGAAACGTGTGGTCATTTCGCGTTTACATGATGCCGTTGCGAGATTTCGTACCGGAGTGAGATTCTCGTCCCAGTACAGGAACCTGGGTGAACCCACGCCGGGGTCACTCGCGCCGGCATGACATTTTCTGGTGGTATCATGTAAACAAATGTAGGGCCATGAGAGGGAACCGGAGTGAACTCACTCCGGCGCGAAAGTCACCCCGGTATCATGTAAACAGCCCCTCATTCAGATCCTGGTCAGGAGTGGGCGTGCTACTAGACAATCCCAAGGTCAAGACTACGTCAGGAATATCCTAGTGCTCAAGAGCTGTTACAGAGCTTCATTCTTTCCTCGCACTGTCCTAGAGTGGAATCATCTGCCCCCTCACATTTGGAACGCTTTTTCTCTTGACTGCTTTAAGTCCTCCCTTATGCGAGACCAAGACACTAACGATTTAAATCAGTAAAAGCCATTGACTGAATAAACGCTGACCGCTGACCGTTCCTTGTGCACATATATCCCGTAGCTATCCTGTGTGGGAGATCTTCATAGTATTAGATTTAGATTTAGATTTAGATTTAAACGCCTGGCGTGAAGTGAATGAACAACTTTTGGTCAGGTCATAAGTTAACCTGTGAGGGAAGGGGGCGGCTGTACATGATACACAGGCTAGTCATCACTAAGGTACCTCCAAGCCCAGCAACAACTTAGCTACATAAAGACGAATGCTCCACCTAATCTGCACTGATTTCTTAACTGAACTGAGGATAGAGAGAGCGGATATCGATACTGCTCTCTTGGTTGAGTTCAATGGAAGCCAGTATAACAGTAATTTTTTACTAAAGGTTTTGAGACATCAGAGCATAACGATGCCTATATTTCAATATCCTTCGGAAGGCGAAGGCAATTTGCATTGGCGTGAGACCCCGCGCGAGGGAGAAGGGAGAAGGGTTTTCGCGCTTTTCGCGCGCCCGGAATCAACTTCCCCTTTCGCATTTCCCTTTCATTCACTCGGTCGGGACTGGGGTCAATTATTGCGACATGCGTAACGGGCTCCCAAACTCCCATGCGTCAGCGAGAGTCAGCGGAAAACGAATTGTGCATCTGTGATCGACGCTATTTCCTCGGGTCTTCTTCCTTTTTAACATCAAATTAGTCCAAGTTATGGTGAAAGAAACAACGTTTTACGGTAAGTCATCTACATCTGCTTTCACTCATTCCTTTTAATTGAAAATTTGTTCCAAATCCTTTCTACAAAGCCAGATTGTTTGCTGGCCGGGTGTTACATGACAACCACATGTGCCGGGTTGAACATCGATCGACTGCTGTATTCCGATTTTGTAATTTCTTTCTCAGATATTCTCGATGTTTCGCCGAGTGCTACCCCGAGTGAATTAAAAAAGGCTTATCGCAAGCTTGCCTTGAAGTACCACCCAGACAAAAATCCGGACGCCGGAGACAAGGTATGTATGCTCTCAGTAGTTTTAAAAACCCTCGTCCTCAGTTTCGCTTTCTGCGTCCATAGAAAGTGAATTTCTCGGTAATATCTGTGTTTTTTTTAAAGAAACTATGCCCCTTAGACTCTCTATCGCATTATAGGACATGAGTTCTGTATCTTACAGATAGTACTGTGGTCTTTGCTTGTGTAGATTATTTATAGAGATTGCATTCAATTTGTGGAAGATGATTAATTTTTTTTGTGATGCAACTAAACGCTAGCAGGGAAGTCATTTTACTACCTTTTTGTTTAAGTTTAGATATACTGTAATCTTCCTATATTATCCTTCTAAATCTTCCTAATCCGTATTACCAATGGTTGTAAATCGTTGAATTAACAATAATTCAGAAAATGCTGAAATACGTCTTACAGTGTGAATGCCTGGAATTTTGGCATGGTTACGTAGATGAGTGGAATGATCAAGTTACACGATAAACTGGAAGTTGTTCAAAAAGTTTTACAGCAAAACTTAAGTCAGCATTTATTTTGGGTGCTTTGTCTCTTGCGTATTTTCACTTTTCCTTCATAAATTATATGGTCAATGATAATGCAATAATAATAATATTCTGCGAGGATTTCTGGAAAAAGTATTGTCATCATATTCCGGGTTCTATTCGTATTACATTAACTCCCTATGGATGAATATCCTTGGCAGAATAGTAATAGGGATCCGTTTTTAAAGGAACGGATAAAGAACAGGGTTCACAAATATGCCAAATTTGGCGTATTTTACGCCAAAATTGTTCAGATGACTCCACTGAGGTTACAGAGGGAGTCACTTTGACTCCAGAAATTTTCGGTAACAAACAGGGAGCCACTTCAACTCCAGAAATTTTCGGTAACAAACACAGTTTTGTCCTTACCTTTTTTGCAAACGTTGTAAACGTTGTAAACCTTAATTAAGTCATCGAAATTAAAGAATTATACTGCACGATAAAACAGGAAGAGGCCAAATTACAATCAAAGTTTACTCGATGACCACCATCATGGATTTGAGCTTTCCAGGTCAGCGGACCGCCACAGCTACTAAGTGTATCCCTCATGATAGTGTATACGTGGCAGGACCACATGCTGGAAAGTCTGAAAATGGCTTTTTTCGTTGTGATACTTGACTCCAAATATTCCAAAATGACTCCAAAATTTGTGAAGCAGAAGTCACACTGACTCCACTCATCAATAAAATTTGCAAACTCTGAAGAATGTGGTGGGTAGGAAAGGTTTTTTTTGTCAAAGGGCTCTGGCAAAAAAGTGACCTGGTAGGAATCTGCTCATCCACAGTGGGGGTTCAGAAAAAAAATGGAAGTCCTTCCTTTTTTGTGGGTTCCAAGTTTTTTACTTCTCACATTAATTTTGTTTCATAGCTGGTGAAAATAAGTTCTCATGAAAGAATGAAAAATGAACTTCCCTCAGTAACTATAAGTACAAGAACACAAGGCTACATCTAATAGTGAAGTGTTAAATCACTACATTTGCATAAAAGTTCAGCTATCTCATAACAAGCATCTCATGCAAGAAGTGCGTTGGTCTTTTCAATGATATTAATAGCATTATTAAACCTTGATCATAGTTTAAGCAGATATCCCATGCTTATGAAGTCCTATCAGATGAGAGGAAACGACAAATTTATGATGAAGGAGGAGAGGAAGCTCTTAGTGGAGGAGGTGATATGGGGGGATTTCATTCACCTATGGATATCTTCGACATGTTCTTTGGAACTGGGCATGGTCGACATAGAGGGAGACAAGAAAGAAAGGGCAAGGATATGATTCACCAGCTCAAGGTAATGTTTAAACCCTTAGTATGTGTACATCAATACACAATATTCTCACAGTTTTCTTGAGATGCATTTCTAATTTAGAAAGATTTCATGTTTAAATAATTTGTTAAAGATTTGAATCTTTATTAATCATTTCATTTATTAATAATATATTTTTTCATAGCTGTTGTTTGATTAGACAATGATATTAAAATAAAATTATTGTTGTGCTCTATATTTTGGCAGGTTTCTCTTGAAGACTTGTACAATGGTACAACAAGGCAGTTGGCGCTACAGAAAAATGTTATTTGTGCCAAGTGTGAGGGACGAGGAGGAAAGAAGGTGGGTGCTGGGAGTTGTTAATCACTTTTGGTTATTTTACTTTACTTTTAATACTATTACCTTCCCCTGTAGAAAACAAAATAACGTGATAAAACGTTAGACATAACAAATGAAAGAAGGTTGAGTATGATCATCCAGACAAACATAGTCCTGAATAGGACTGTTGTGGTTGACAGTGACTGACGTTTCAACAACCTGTCCGGTAGTCATCTGCAGGGTGAAAGTGATTTGTATCATGTCGGTTGATGGTATTAAACTGTGATTATTGACCTGATTGGTAAAAGTCCCAATGTTATTGAAGACTCGTAATAATAAAATAATGTAGTGACCATAAAAAAAGAAGATTGATGACAGGGACACCACAACAGCTTACAGGCCTTTCACTAAGGACTATTTTTAACCAATCAGAAGCACTACTCACATCTGAGTAGTCTGGGGTTATTCCTCAGATGTTGTTTGCATTGTGAAATGTCCGCTGTTTTCTCAGGCTGTGAACTATGATATCAGTCAGCTTTTTTTCTGCTGGTTATGTCACGTTACATCTACCTTTTTGTAATTTCCAGGGTTCTGTTGTAACATGCAATACCTGTCATGGTAGTGGGATGTATATCAGAATCCACCAGATTGGACCAGGAATGGTGCAGCAAATTCATACACAGTGTAGAGACTGTGGTGGCAGTGGGGAGCGAATACCAGGTAATGTTACATTTTCTAATCTTTTTCTGGCTGCAGCTCTAGAGGCATGGCTGGGGTGGTTGAATTATTTTGTTTCTGGTTCAAATTTTACTTCATTATAATTTATTATTATTTTTTTGTTTTTTAACTCATCATACATTACCATTCTCACAAACAAAGGCAAATTAATTAGAAACTGGGAACAAATTGAAGTGTCCATGCAAAAATGTCCCTGTGATATTTCACCAATTTTCAAACCACACAAACTTACGCAATTTTCACCTGTGGCTTTTTTTTTGGTAAGAAAACATACTGTTAACATGTTCTTTATAATTTCCACTATATTTGCTAATTAGCAGGACTCACATGCAACTAAAGAATGTGTGTCTTTTACCATGTATAGAGTGGGAGCTGGGGGGATGGTCTTTTTCCCTTGGGGAGGGTGAAGGGGGGTTTGTTGTTGCTGATTGCAAAATGGATGGGTTTTGGAAAAATAATGTGGAAATGTCACCCAAACCAAGGTGAAATGTTTGCAGCAGTGTTTCTTTAGTGTAACTGTGTAACTTTGTAGCACTTTCCAAAATTACAAGATTATTGTAAGGATGTTCTTGCATGGAGGACTTCTTATGAACCACAACATATAGCCACTGTAACACCAAGTGTGAGTGAGTTTTTCCGGAAAAAAAGTAAGCAATTGCTGGTGTGATACTGAGGTGGCTTTTGTACAAGCATGATTTCACCCTGGTTTCCTTTCATAGCTGTCTTTATTTATGTTACAGGTCAAAATGAATTCAGGTTAAAAAAATTCTAACCTAGGTTGATTCTCAATTTCCTTTGTCTTTTAACAACAACAACAACAACAACAACAACAACGTATTTATTTAAAGAAATATAAAGTTTACAATACTTCATGTCCTGCAAATAGCTACAATGCTTATCTAGGCAGGACAAGACTTTAACTAAAGGCGTTATTAAATTACATAAGAAAAAAGAAAAGAAGAAATACAAAAACATACAGAAAGAAACACCCTACATATAAATTCAAGTACAAGGGATTTTGTTATTTGAAAAAGACTAAAATTACAACTGGAGGTATATACAACATATTAGGTTAACTTCACAAAATATTCTATTAAAAAATTAACATTCAAATAATTATCTTCATTACCTAGAACATTAAGGAGTAGTGATTTAATTTTTTCACGAAAATTAGAAACGTTGAGAGTCTTAACAGAAAGTGGAATAGAATTCCAAATAGACATACCGATTGTAGTAAAAGATTTTTTTTTTTTTCATTTTAGCCCTAATTATTCATGAATTAGGCCCCAGAGACAAAGGAAATTGAGAATCAACCTACCAGTAGGTAACAAAATTTTAACCTGAATAAAATTTGGACCTGAAACATTTACACAATACTATCAAACCAGCATGAGTTCATCCCTCTTGCTGTACCAGTTCAATTCTAGTGCAAAATCTTGCAGCAACATGAATCTATTTTTGCAGCATCATTCAAGTAAATTTCCAGTTGCTTAATATTATTTTGTAATTTTGGTTTGTATTCTTTAGAGAAAGATCGCTGCAAGAACTGTCAAGGCAGGAAAACAGTCAAAGAACGTAAAATTCTGGAAGTTCATATTGACAAGGGTATGAGAGACGGACAAAAAATAACATTTTCTGGTGAAGGTGATCAGGAGCCTGGTATTGAACCTGGTGACATTATAATCATCCTTGATGAGAAAGAGCATCCATTGTACAAAAGAAATGATATGGATTTACGCAGAAAAATGGTAATTATTCATAATGGTAATTCAGGTTAATCAAGGTTTTAACCTAAATCACTGGAAAGTTCCCAACACTTTTGACCTCCATTGTAGTCGAGATCTGGGTGTTCTGTTCTCTGTTCTGCGGACTCCCAGCATCTGAAGAAAAATGATATTTAAAGGAACACATCTCAGATAAACTACTTGATTGAGAGTTCAGTGGACAGCCATTATTATTAGTAGTTGTAATAAACACTATTGTTATTATTATTATTATTATTATTATTAATCTATTATTAAAGTTAAATAATTATTGGCAGGGGAACTATACATGTACTTTTGAGTTGTGATATAAAGGCCAAAATTAATGGTTATTATTTGTTTTCTATAGTTTTCACACCAGTGGCGGGCTTTCTAATCAACCCTTTTTTAGCAAGTTTCAAAACAAATCAAATAGAATGGATAAAATCTATTTTAAGTGATTGAAAGGGATTTTGGGGGTCATCTGTTCAGCATTATTCTTTGAGAATGAGCTATTTTATTTTGCATCCTTTCCTTGTTGATTATAGTAATTGCATTCGTGTAATAACATGGAACAATTTTGTTTATTGCTCATCCTAATAGGCTTTGTATCTTTGTTGTTATTCCTTAACAGGAACTTGAACTGGTAGAAGCACTCTGTGGTTTTCAAAGAACAATAGACATGCTAGACCAAAGAAAACTAGTCATTACATCTCTTCCTGGAGATGTGATAAAACCAGGTGAGTCGGAAGATGTTTTGTAGGTTAAATTTGTTCTTATTCTAAACCGGTAATCAACATACCAGTAGGTTACCACAGTTAGAACCCCAGCAAAAAGCTAACCAGAAACCATTGTACAAGCTGCTTCAGCCTGAAAATGTATTTTACCCACTGCAGATGTAATACTCCTGTTTAATTACAGCTAACATTAATCAACTTGAGAACAGTGTGAAAACCATCAAATGATCCTATTCACTCTTTGCACAAACCACTTTCATGAGTTCTAAGCCTTTCTTTTTTGCTCTTTGTTTTCTTTGTTTTGTGTCACTACTTTAATGCTGATGTAATGTTTTAAAAATGCTTGTGATAGGTGACGTAAAGTGTGTCATGAATGAGGGAATGCCAAGATACAGAAGCCCATTTGAGAAAGGCAGACTAATTATCACATTTGAGGTATGTGTACCACACATTATGATGGTTGCGATGATATGAAGCTTACAATACACAAGCAAATCAGATTATTGGCACCAAATATAGGCAGCTAAACCACGGAAATAATATGGCTCATCGTTGCTATAATAGTATTGCATTTAACTTGAATCACCTTAGAGTAGGTTCATCATTAAACAGTGAAAACTGTTCTGTGAAATTTTACTTAACATTAATAATTATTACCTTAACATTATTGTTTATATACTAGCAAAAGAAAGAAAAAAGAGGAAAAAAACCTAATTTGTTTCCACTTTCAAACCAATTTTGTTTTTTTTTTTCTTTTTTTACTGAAGTAAAGTTGAAAACTAACCTACAGATTGTGGTGTATGTAGAAGTAAGAATAGAATGAAAAGCAGGAAAAATTCTCATGCATGTGTTGGTTTGAGTTTTTTAGTATCTTCACAACTTTCCAGCTTCTCTGATAAGTTATTCTTATTCTAAAGGTTAAATTTCCTCCTGATGGCTTCATCACACCAGCTTCCCTTTCTCAACTGGAGCAGCTCTTTCCGCCAAGGCAAGAAGTAATAGTTCCAGAGGATGCTGAAGAAGTCGACCTTGTTAAGTTAGATCCCGAAGAGGAATCCAGACGGCGCAGAAGTCAAGCGGTAAGAAACAAATTAGTACTACCACCAAAGCGTCAAAAGGGGTGAATCAAGGATTTTTGTGTGAGAATCACAAATCAGTTACAGAGTTTGCATCTTAGTTGTGAATGCATTAGGGAGCAGGAGGGGGGCACTCAAGGTATCTACATATACACTACTCCAATAAAAATCTATCAACTGATGAGCTGCAGCTCCCTTTGACTCTGGAACCGACTACCATTCAGGTTGTCAAAACTTCCCTCACTGTCCCAGTCAACACTCACTCATGTGCTGTCCCACACAATGGGATGGGAATGAGATGGACTCTGGAAAGGAGCTTTTCTTTGTGGAACTCAACATGGTGGTTATGCAGGTGTACATGTATAACCTGATTGATTCCGGACACTTCCTCCCATCTTCATTTAGTTTTATTTTTTAACACTTTTGCTCCCTATCTTAGATATTTGTCAGGAAACCCCTGATAAACATATACACCGTACCATGCAAAAGTATCACTGGAAAGACATTGTTTATATAGCAGTTTAGATCACATTGCATGCCTTAATCTGTCCTTTTGATTGGAAAGGATTAGCAACTCAACAAGTCTTGAAATAATGGTGATGTAATGAAATAAGCCTTTGCATACCATTGGCCAAATTGCTCATCGGGATTTTTTTTCTTTCTAGGGAAATGCTTATGATGAGGATGAAGACTATGGTCACCCAAGGGCTGGAGTTCAGTGCCAGTCGCAATAACAATGGTTCTTTCACTATAACAACTGACTTGTCCACAGACATCTCTGTTTAATTTTTTCCCATTCGCCACTTTAGAAATGAGAAGTAAACTGGGCCAAATTAAGAAAGGTCAAAGACTTCTGCAGCATGCAAGGAAAGTAGTGTCCAGTAGCCCGTGGCTATTGAATTTTGCTATCGGGCTAGTGATTTTTGTTCTTTACTTGCCCAAGGGGCAAGTGCTGTTTTTTTGGGGGGAAATTCAAATTGCAGAAGGATTGTAATCAATCCTGCTAATCAAAAAGGGTTTTGGGGCTAGTTGAAATGACTTGTGGGCCAGTACATGCTGGCTACAGCTTGCCCGAATGGTAGGCTGCAAAACTGGTTTTCTTTGCACCCTGTTCTTTGATTGTTACTAGGGACAGGGGAAAAAATGGCAAATCCCTAGCCTGCAAAGCAGGCGTATTTTGGTGGGCGATGCATGATTTGTTTTCAGGAATGACATTGTCCTGCCATCGTGGACGTTATTACTACCAGAGAGTTGGGACGAGTCAAAAACTGATTTTAAGGGAGAGGTTGATAGGTTTAAAATAGGGGTGGGGGAGAGGAGGAAAAATGATGCCAGAAAAAATTGGGTGATGCATTTTGGCTCCAGTTCTCTTCTTGTTTGTAAAGTGGCAAATTGGTACACAGGGTGTTGATGGGATGGAGGAAATGAGTTAGGTCTTCTCCATCACCCCCGCCCTGCTCATGATGTGTGCATTATGAAGATGGCTGAGGACTGGTCACTTACAATTTTGTTTTGCTACAACTTAAACTATTAAAGCCTGTGAATTTCTTATTCTGTATGTGGAAATGGATTAATATCTCAAACTATACTTCCATCTGTGTACTGGTTAGAAATAAATACATTGCATTACTATGCAAAATCTTTGCTTAAGAGATTTCACTTGAATGGTAGCACCATAGGATCTGGTTTACCAATTTTAAAGTTGCAGAGGCAATGCAGGGTAGGATTGAAGGATTAACGAATATATAAAAGGCCAGTGGTGGGGGGGGGGGGGGGGGAGCGACATTCTTAGGCGGTGGGAAAATGTGGTTGGAAAAAAATTTGTTTTTGTGCGTTTTTCGACAATAATATATGAAACACATTTATTGTTAAAAATAAAAAAATTTCATTACTTGTCAAAAATCTTTCCTAAAGAGTTTTACTTGAAATGGAGCCACCAAGGGTTTGGTTTTCCCATTTTAAAGTTGCAGGGGGCAAGGAGGGGAAGGTTGAAGGGTTAAAGGAAAAAAAAAAGGCCCGGGGGGGGGGGGGGGGGGAGGAATCGACTTCATTGCAGTGTAGTGAAATTACTTTAGCAAAACAGTTTGCTTCCGTGCCTTTTGCCAAATCATAATAAAGTGAACTTTAGCTGATCATGCATGGACTATCGCTACAGTGAACTAAACAAAAAAATTTATTTATTAGTTCAGCCAATAGACTGCAGTACTAATCCAGTCAGCTATACCTGAATAAGGATGCCACAAATTAATTTCATTCTCTCTATTCTTTTATGAAGTATTAAGTTTCAAATGTCTAGCAGTAGGAGTATTTCACAGTATGTTCTTTAGTTATCCCAGTCCAGTTAGATATCTCGTACTTTTTTAATATTATTTTATAGAAACAGCCAAGTGAACTGGTCGTAACTCACTCAGGAAGATTATCTTCATGTAACAATGTTTAGCTCATGATATCAAATAAATTTGTCTTACCTGCAAACAAAATAGTATTACTTGCGATCATTTTGCCATAACCTAAAGGAATCTCATGATTGTGACCATACATCAGTTTTTGCCCGAAACTATTCATATAGTAGGTACAGCATTTTCAATGATATGAACTAATATCTTTGATATATTATTGATTTGTTGTTAAAAGTTTGGAATGAGTTTGACAAAAGCAGCAGGTACTAAAGTATTGTCCTTAGACAAACATTGTTGATTATTGGGGACACTTATTAGATTAAAGTGAACAAGAATAGCTGTCACGATAGTGTTATTGTTGCCTTTTTTGATCCATGTCGCTTTTGGCAGCAGACTTGGTGCTTTCAACCACCTGTGCAAATATTTGGTGGATAACTCCAAACCTTAACGTAAAATAAAAAATTGGTTTTTGTTGTGTTCTCAACACGATTTTCCACACTTAATTTATATAATTTTATTTCTTATCGTGAGACTCGCATGTGGATGTCTTTGTTTTAACTGTGAGGGTTTTTATATTTTTTTTCTTGGAAAAACGCATACAAACTGTAGAAGAAGCCATGAGCAACAGCAATTAAACGAGTGTTAATAACAGAAATAAAATGTTCTTTGCAGTTAACCAAATGTTGGACTTTTGTGTGTGAGTTCTTCCTTTTTTGCTACAATCATTTTAGTGGTAAGGGGTTTCGTTCTGTGCAGTACCGAGCATTCCCTTCTTGTTCTCCCCAGAGCCCGTTCACATCTTGTAAGCTGTGTTGCCCTAAACTGAAGTACGCATTGCCGACCTTTCATTCCAAACGGCGGAAAGGCCATGGGAACTAGCATACATTGCATAACCACAGCAATATGGCGGCAGGAAGAGTGTTTCGTCTAATCCATCTCAACGTTCACCCTTCGCTTAGCAAATCCGTTCTTAACCGGGGATTTAACTGTTCACAAAGACGTGTGTTTAGCTCAGGCGCCTACAGGTCAAACGGTTTTGACAGAAACCATCGATTGGCTGCTATTTTGGCTGGCAGTTGTGGCTTAGCTCTTGCTGCCAGTGGTGTTTTTACGTACCGCGTGCTTTGTAATGACACAAAAGCTCGACCGATCAAAGTCTCCGAGAGCGAATCAGGCACAGGTTTTATGCCAGGAGTGCCGAAATTAACAGTCACCCTGTATCAATATCAAAACTGCCCTTTCTGCGGAAAAGTGCGAGCGTTTCTTGATTATTATGGAATTGATTACACTATCGTGGAGGTCAACCCGCTATGGAAAAAAGAAATTAGCTTCTCCAAGTACAGGAAAGTACCGTTTATTTTGGCAAATGGCAAGCAGGTGAGTGTTTTAGTTTATATGATAGATGAGTCAAGAAAAGTTGCCCTGTAATCCACAGTTATGCATCAGTCAAGCTGTGCCTAGCTGATTTATGGTCTGTTTAAGGCTCCTTGTTTGAAGGCTGGAAGTTCAGCAGAATCAACTTGTACATGTTGCAAAACAACCACTTACCCTGGCAAACACTATGTAACAGTACAACTTCTAGCCGCACAATTTCTTATTCATTGTGACATTAAATGATGTGTCAGGGTATTCTGCAGTTTTGCTCAGGGCTGCATAATGATAATGAGATGATATAATAAAGAACCCAAATCAGAACTGAGGTTTGTTTCTGACTCTGAACTTCCTGCTGGATTACTGTTACAAAAAGTTCCAGGAAATTCCAAAAAAATAGGAATTTCCAGTTTATTCCAGCGGAAGTTTTTCGGGAGCAACTTAGCCTCTAACGAGGTGTTCCTGTTTTCCCAATGGGGATGTTCCGAAGAGAAATTTGTCTTCCATTCCTTGTAACTCACCCTTGACGTTAGGTGAAGTGTAAAATTTTATATACATCAACAGACCAGAGCTCATGACCAGAGTCTGAAGAGAATAACATCAATTTTTGTGGGCTAAGTGCAGTTGTCTCTCCTGCTGGACATCACCAATGGAGGAGTTAAGAGAGGCGGCCATATATTCCAGGCTAATGGTTGCTTTGAAAAAATGAGACCTGTTTCAACCATACTTTCCAGTATAAATTAATATACACATACATAATAAAGAAGGCCAATGGACCTATAGGTTGAACTGTATTCAGCCTCAAGGCTTGAATATAAGTAATTTTTTTTACAGCCAGAATAGGGCAACTAGGTCTTGCGTCCGGTAAGAGCGTGTGCGTGTTTATCTTCCTTTGCAGCGCGTGCAAGTTTTCAAATTTGTTCGTTATCATGTAATAATGGTGTGTGATGCTTGTAACGGCCATTCACCCTGATGAAGGCCGTTTAACATGGCTGAAATATAGGCGATAGATGAAAAACATATTGTTTTACTCTTCACTTGTGGTACTGTATTTATTGAGTTGTGAAGGGAGTGTCTTCTAAAAGATGCTTGTGATAGGTCATACATAATAATCTGTATAGATCTAGCTAAGTTAGAGGTTATTGTGTCATCAACAGATTAATGACTCCTCAGTGATCATCAGTGCTCTTCGTTCTCTTATGCTGGGTCAAGATTCTGTTGAACAGATTCTGGTCTATTACCCAGAGATGACATTGCAAGGAGATGATGGAAAAGAAAAGACTGAATATGCTAACAAATACTTTATCATGCACAAAGAAGCTGTGGACAAAAAATTAATGGAAAGAGAAAAGTAAGTGAAAGGCATAATGATCAGAAGGACTCTCAGAAATGTGAAGCTGTTAACAGTATGAATGCTTCACTCTCAAGTCTACATCTCTAGTCCTTGATTATTGCAAATGTTTAGTGCCAGAAGATTACCAACAACTCAGAAGAGGAGTAAATTCTAAAAGCCAAAATATTGGCTGATAAGTGTGAAACTAAACTGGAATTTTTTCAGCTCGGTTGCTGGGAAACAAAGAAAAAACTCTCCAAGGGGGTAATGGATTATTTTGGAGCAACATAATAATATTTTATTCATGATTAATCAACAAAATAAGTTTGCAATTTTCAAATTAACAGAGTGCATTTTATTTCAGAGAAGAAAGAAAATGGAGGAAATGGGTTGACAATACATTTGTTCACACGCTCTCACCAAACATCTACCGAACAGCATCTGAGGCCCGCCAGGCATTTGAGTATTTTACCAAGCAGAGCAACTTCAGCTTTTTTGAGAAATACTCAACTTACCTCGCAGGACCAGTTGTCATGTACTTTATTGGAAAACATGTGAAAAATAAGTGAGCACATCCTTTTTTTTTCACTTTTTACCTGAATACATAGAACTGTCACAATGGTAGTTCTGCAGAGGATGACGGCGAAATCATTACAGTTTACCAAAATGTGTGATGTACATGTGGTTATTGTCGTGGTCATTTTGCCTTTGTCATTGCAGTTGTCATTGAGTTCACTTGTTGTGTTATCTGTTTGAGGAATTTCATTGGAATAATGAATTGCTTGTCAGCCCTTCAGTGATTTTAGTGATGTCTATTAATATTTTTATTTTTCCTTGTCTTTTTAGATACAATCTACAAAGTGATGTTCGTGCTGCTATGTATGAGGAAGCAGAAAAATGGATGCGTGCTGTTGGCCGAAGGAAGTTTATGGGTGGCAGTGCTCCAAATCTTGCCGACCTGGTATTGCCATACTATTTCACAGAAAATAAATCAGACCATAATATAACACATTTTTGGGTGAATAAGTACTCAGGAACTCCCGGCCTACAGTATAAACAATATTCTTATATCGTTGAAGTGGTACAATCAATCAGTTCACTACTTGTATTTCCTATAAAACATCCTATGATTTGAGAAAAGATGTAATCAACATGTCTCGAGCATGGGACAAAGAAAAAGTCTGAGTCCTTGACAGGAATTGAACCTATGACCTTCTATAGACCGGTCGATGCTCTAACCACTGAACGACGGAGGACTCATGGACCATATACAAGGTTCATGTATGGCGTGCGTCCTGTGTACTGCTAGGATCAGCAATGTTGAAATTGTCATGAGTGTGATAAATAAAGAAAGATGGTAATTTTAATTTTGCATTGCTGATCCTAGCAGTATGCAGGATGCATGGAATACATAAACCTTGTATATGGCCCAGCTAACCACGAGTCCTTCATAGCTCAGTGGTTAGAGCATCCGACTGGTGTATGGAAGGCCAGAGGTTCAATTCCTGCTAGGGACTCAGATTTTTTCTTTGTCGCATGCTCGAGACATGTTGATTACATCATTTCTCATTTCTTCACCAAGCTTAAAACTTATCATCTTTCTTTATTCATCCTATGATTTGTTTGCATTTATAACTGTATAAATTAAAGCGTGTTTATAACATAGTTCATCTACAGTCTTTTTGTAATAATAGTTACATGTAACTTTTCCTGACCAAATTGCAAATCCTTTTGAAAGTTTGGTGTTACTATGGGTCATAATATTAATTTTTTTGTTTAAACCCAGGAGTCATGTCGATAACATCACAACTTGTTTGACCGGTCATATCAGCAGCCAGTCAAGTTTAGTACAATCAACTGGCAATAAACAACTTGCTTTGACTTTGATGATGACTTCCTCTCAGGTTGTCAAAATGTCAGTCACTGTCAAGAGCATTGCTACACAAGACTGCACTCACCTGGACTGTCATATTTCTTATTATAAATTAAATATAATTGTAATGAAGTACTTTTATTGTTTTCCAGGCAGTGTATGGCGTGTTAAGTGGCTTGGAAGGACTTGACGCTTTCCAAGACCTAATGACACACACAACAATGAAACCATGGTATGACCGGGTGAAAGAAACTGTCAAGACACACACTGGGGCTCAAACTCTTTAAGATTCATTTGGCAGTGAAGGTGCAGAAGTATCAGCTATGGACATTTGGACAACTGGACCATGGACAGTTTTCAGCCAAACATAACTGCAAAGTGTAAATAAATCTTACAGAAATGACCAAGAAACAGAATATCACTGTGGATAATGTACACACATAATTGTTATTTCGTGTGTATGTTAAAAGGGGACAAAATATTTTATAAGTTCTTTAGACCAGGCCAAAATTTGTGCTTTTCATGTGTTAACTACTAGTAATCCTGGTCAATATTCTGTAGTTAAAGGATAATGATCCACTACTATAAAGGAATGTTTTAGAGGTACGCACCACCCTACCCCGTCTCCTATACTCAGTTTGTGTTTCTTATCAGTATGGTGAGGGATAGTCTGCTACACAGCGGTTGCTTTCGCGCGACGATTTTGATTGTTCTGTCATTCACACATGTGGCACCGGTAAAAGAAAAGCTGGGATTGGAGGAGTCACAATACTGCAAACGTTGCGTAAACACCTTCCAGAAAATGGGAACTGAATTCTTATTGGCTAACGGCGGGAAAGGAATGTGGTTCGATTCTCAGCAACCGTTTGTGGGGAGGAGCGTTGAGTGACAACACTAAAAACGGCTGTGTAGCAGACTAGGTGAGGGAAACATCTCTCTTGGATGTAGGGCCGTTGGCTTCGGGTGTTGCAAAATCGAGGAAACACTGTAAAATGTTTCGAGCATCATGTGAAAGCAGTTTAAGTTGAGTTTGCACAGGCAAAGACACTTTGTTTTAGCTATAGATCATTTCCCTTTCCTTTTACTCCTTTGCTGTGTTTTTGTTTTGTTTTGTGCGCACGTGCGTTCCAGCGTAGCTATGCCCATGTTCAACACTGCATGCCTGCTTAGGGCATTGTTGGTGTCAGTGGGTCAAGGAAAATATCCCTGATATAAACAAACACTAAATAAACAACAAGACATCGTATTTGGGAAAACACGTCAATGATCTTTATTTATTGAGTTGTATTAACCGCCATATTTTGTTTCATGTTTTTTGTACCGCCATACATATTTTTTGTTTCTTGAGACTTCGTGTTTCTTTGTTTCTTGAGACTTTGTGTTTCTTTGTTTCTTGAGACAATGTGTTTTGTTTCGTTTGTTTGTTTCTGGAGACAAAATTTTGTATACGTTTTGAATTGAGACTGAATTTTTTTGTTCCTGGAAACTTCATATTTCTTTTTCTTCTTTTTTTTCTTTGTTTTTTTTTTTCTTTTTCTCATTTTTTTGTCGGTCTTTTTTTACATCTCTGAATTTTTTGGTGTTTTCCGTTTTTTTTTTCTATTTACTACTGAAAAGATTAAGGTAGAAAGAAGAGTCAATTAAATGAAAAAGGAACATGCCGTTAAGGATGGTCTTCGTCAGCGATGGAGTTGGAGTCGTCACTAGAATAGACCTTGTCACGGTTTTCGACCGCATCTTGACGAGTAGGCAAACGCGTGAGAAATTACAGTGTTTGTATGAGAATCCAATGTCGAATAATTTCCGTAAAACGGATTTTCTGGAAAAAATATGAACTGTAAACTAAAGCTACACAGCAAAGGATTTTACCAACAAATTTTGGGGGCCGTTACTGTGCTTAAATTTCTCCAAAAGCTTGCTTTAGATTTTCCATATATTTGTCCGCAATTTTTCCCGGGAAATTTTTACAGACAAATGCATAGAAAATTTAAAAAAAAGGTTCTAGGTCTTCTAGCGCATGTAACTCCCTCAAATTTCTGCAGTAGGATCCCTAAGAGTGAAGCTTTAGTTTACAGTTCATATATTTTTTAAAACAACCGTTTTACGGAAATTATCGACATTAGATTCTCATACAAACACTGTAATTTCTCACGGGTTTGCCTACTCGTCAAGATGGCGTCGAAAACCGTGACAAGGTCTATTAAAAGAGTAGAGCCTACTATCTACAGAAAATAACCAACTTGGTTGTTTTCTGTAGATAGTAGGCAACCTAACGGAATCAGAAGTGAATGAAAGAAGAACACTCTTAGGACTCCGATTATGACTCCAACCCCGTCGTTTATGAACACCAGGATTTAACAGACTTTCCTCGAGAAAAAGTTGGTCTGCTTCAAGTGTTGGACTACATCCGCTATCTGCTTTTTCATGATAGGGTTGGTGGCTTTTGTTTCCGTCACTGCGTTATCCTGATTGTAAACAAGATGGTACCGTTTCGTCACACGGTCGCAAAACTCTTCCTGAAAAAGATAAAAACAAACTAAAACATTGGTCAAAAAGAATTCCCGGCCATATTTTACATGTACACTCAAAGTTATAATAATAATAATAATGATAATAATAATAATGCATGGCCAATTTACCTTATTCTCCTTAATTTTCGCGGGTTCTTAAATTCGCGATTTTCGCGATTTTAAAAAATTCGCGAACTTTAAGATCAGCGAAAAATAACGACCGCGAACTTTGATCTCGCGAAATTTATTGGACATAGAAAAATCATGTATTTGTGTTTTCAAGGGTCCTAAACAATTTTTAACCCAAAGTGTTAGTACAAGGAGCTATCATCTATCAACTTTGTATAGGTAATAGCATGATTTGTAGTGATATTTGGCATAAATACCACGAGTGATATTTCAAAATTGTTATACGTAATTTCACGAGCCGTTAGGCGAGTGAAATTTGAGACCATTTTGAAATATCACGAGTGGTATTTCTGCCAAATTTCACGTACCAATCATGCTATTATTTGTTTATACTACTACCCGCAAAAGGTCTGTAATTTTCACATGTAGGTATTTCAAATTAAGCTGAAATACCACTGCTCTAAACCAATCAAATTGCAGAAATTTCTCATGTAGTAGTATAAAGATGTTAATCAGTGTCAAGATTCGCCTCAAGTTCTTATTCGGCATCTGAGTAATCATCTTCGCACAGTTCCTCCGATACGATCTTTGTACAGTCGTCAAATTGACCATCCTGTCCCGGCTCCTTGTAATGTAAAGTTACGAGTGCCGTGTATCTTTCAATTATTGCCCTGTTCCTTGGTGTATCGTCCATTTCACATATCACCTCAACAGGGACAGCATATTGGTTTTGTTTTAATTGTTGATTAACGTAAATTTTTTGTAAGAAAGAAAAAATAAAGTCACTTAATCGTCAATTTCGCGAAATTAAATTCCCTACAAACACAATTTTTCTCCGCGATCGCGAAATTAAAGACTAGCGAAATGTGCCGAGAAAATTTTCGCGAAATTTAAGTACCGCGAAAATAAAGGAGAATAAGGTACACGGGAAATGCCTGAGACAGTTGACAAAGATAAGACCTGGGAGTGGACCAGGAAAGGTGACTTGAAAGTTGAAACTGGAACACTGATTTTTGCAGCCCAAGAACCGGCACTGAGAACAAACTATGTTAGGTTCAATATAGACAAGTCCATGGATTCCTCGCTTTGTAGGTTGTGTGGCCAAAAGGCAGGAGCACCCAACTACGGTTTTCTCCAAAATACGTTGAAAACACTTTTTAGGTCGTATCCAGAGTACTTTTGGATCTATAGGAATGCATTCTAATTGTAGGGGCACTACACAATTTTTATCTGTTCGGTCATGCTAGGGGAACTTAAGTCCTTTCGAAATTACAAGGGCTTCAGTATTATTTTCCCGATTATACTACTACATAAGAAATTACTACAATTTGATTGGCTTAAAGCAGTGGTATTTCAGCTTAATTTGAAATACCTACATGTGAAAATTACAAACCTTTTGCGGGTAGTAGTATAAACAAATAATAGCATGATTTGTACGTGANACTACAATTTGATTGGCTTAAAGCAGTGGTATTTCAGCTTAATTTGAAATACCTACATGTGAAAATTACAAACCTTTTGCGGGTAGTAGTATAAACAAATAATAGCATGATTTGTACGTGATATTTGGCATAAATACCACTAGTGATATTTCCAAATTGTCTCAAATTTCACTCGCCGAACGGCTCGTGAACTAGTAACGTATAACAATTTCGAAATATCACTCGTGGTATTTATGCCAAATATCACTACAAAATCATGCTATTACCTATACAAATTTTAGGTGCAATCTAACGTTTTATATTTTTTACGAAAGTGAGAATTTTTCTGATTCCTCTCTCCTCCACATTTTAAAGTCCGAAAATTTTAGGTTTCCTTTTTCTTAGAAAAATAGTGTAAGCTGAGTTGTAAAATATGAAAACTTAAACTTCAGAAAATCATAGGGAGTTTATTAGATAAGCTTTGAAAATTGTACATATTGAATAGAACGTTCATCTAGAAATTTTTAGCCGTCCTCAAGCAAAGGAAAATTCTAGGCAATATTTGCTTCTTCGAAGACATACTTTACAGAAAACAGTCGTTGGGTGCCCCTGAAAAGGTTGAAACAATAAATCATATAATAACCGAGAGTCAGTTTGGCGCAGAAATAGTACAAGAGAAGACATGACAACATTGCCAGGTTGGCCCATTGGAAGTTCTGCTGTAAGTATGACTTGAACAAAAGTGAGACGTGGTGTGAACACCAACCAGATGGGGTAAAGGAAAATGAAAGATGTAATATACTGTAGGACATGACCATCCATCTGTCACGTAAAACGCAAAGCACAGCGTTCGAGCAAAAGCGTTTAGACCTTCGATCGTTGTCGCCCACACTCCCTAACCTTTGGTTATAACCTTTGGAAACAAGAAATTACTCGACGAACTCATTTATTCAACCATCTGTACATCATGATTACTATAAGTATAGTTTCTCCCTAAGAGCTATAAGGGACTAGAACTGTTTATCACCTGAAACCAGAGCACTTAATTATTCAGCGTTTCCTAGAGCAAAATTATTCTAAGTTTTGTTTTAAGTATAGCAATTTCTTGGTTATATATTTTATTTTTAATTTTTTTATTTATATTTTTATTTTTATTGAAGATGTAGATGTCATTACTAGTAAAAATAATAATTATAACAGGCTCACAACACTCGTCAGGAATGTCACAGGATAAGTTCGATTCTGAAGTCGAAGTTGAACGGAGGCAATATTGTGGCAGAGCTGTATCTCTCTTGAGGTATGGTGCGTAGCGTAGTACCCAAAGGCAGGTAGCAACGCGTTCCGCTTTTCAATCTACTTTCAGTTTAAGATTTACATCACGTGTTTCATTAAAACCAATCACCTTAAAGCATGGGTGTGTTTTAATTATTTATAGGGTTAAAATCCTTCAAAGCAAAATCGGCTGCAATATATTAAGCTAGACTTGAAAATATTATAATAACAGTTTACCTATTTTAAGTAAAATTGAATATCATTTTTCACTCACCCAACTTCCCTTCAGCACCTTAGTAATCCGAGAGCAGAGATCTTCAGCCACTGTGTAAAGCAGCTTCATAACTTCCTGCTTCTGGTGATGCTCTTCATTCGCCAAAGCCACGGCAAAAATTTCACCGCTGATGACGATAAGAAGAGTTAGCTTACTCCATGGATCAGACAGTTCTTGGTCACAGTTATCTTTAAACACAAGCATGAGGTTCTTGATATCTTCTCTCGACTCCCCCAACAAAGATCTGACCCTCTCACTAACATCGAATCCATCTTGAAATACCTCTCTAGTAATCATCAGCAAATACCCTGCGACCTTTTCCACTGAATCAAGAGGAGAACTACAGCTTGATTCGCTGATTCCTTGCCTCTTTCTTGCATAGAAATCAAGAAGAACTGTCAAATTTCTCATGACCTCGAATTCTGTCAACTTCTGTGCAAGATCCAATCTCTTTACTTCCACCAAACCTTCCTTTAGAAAAGACACGTCTGACCAAGAGATCTTTCCCGCATATTCTAAGGAAGATATAATGATTAAAGCACCAGGTTCTTTCCTAATAAGTTCTCCGAAAATAAAACGAAGCTCCTCTTGCTGATCTTTCTCCAAACTGTGAACAATCTGGAGAAGAACAGTTCTGCAAGCTCGTTGAAGATATTCGATGATGGTGTTATTTGTTTGTGATGACATGGCGGTGTCAACACAAACGAGCGGCGAGTCGGAATGAGAACATTCCGTCCTTTTATACCTTGGAATATTAATTTATTATAAACAGGGAAATTCCCTGACGTCATCACGGGTTATCATGTGTAGTGTGTTGGCTTGCTCCGAAGTTGCCCGATATGAAAACGACATATCGTTGTGGCCGAGGTATTCTTCGGGTATGCAACTGACCTACGCCACCTCGTGAGAGAACCATGGGAACGAGGTTGTTAGGCTCACGTTCTTTGAGGAATTACTAGACTGCGTAGTAGTCTCTGGCCTTGCCTCTCGTCAGACTAGCCTGCGTAGCTAGTATCTTTGTTTGTCGAGCGCGTAAAAGGAGCTAAGTGAGCGGTGAAGCCACGAGGAGATTGGGGCGGAAACAACGAGAGGCTTTTATTTTTCTCATTCGACAATCAACCAATCTTTAGTTAAACACGAGACATAAGTGAGCCTTAAAAGAAGGCTCCTTAAAAAAATGTACGTGCATCTATAATAATAATACAGATCTAAAAATGAATAAAATTAACTACCATTTTATTTAAAAGCTAGACAAATTAACTAGAGCAGAAATTGCAGTGACATTCGTCCTGGCAACGAAATTCTTAATATCGGAGGCGTCCCTAAACATGGAGATAGATTGTTCCAGAGTCGGCATGCAATATTAAAGAAAGATTTGTGCTTAAGGTAGTACTGGGGGCCGGCTGATTGAGTCTGCTGCTATAACCACGAATATTGTATACACGGTTTTTCATACTTATAGTGGAACAACAATAGTCCTATTCAGGACTACGGTCAGCTACACTCGCGCGCTTCGCGCGCGAGCGTAGCCCCATACCTAAGAAAATGTGGTAATCTACCCATTCGAGAAATTTTGGTAATCATGTGAACGTACGCCCGTCCGCCCGCCAACCCACCGTACGTCAGAACCACAGGCATACCAATGTAAAATCACTCAATCAACAGGCATGGCAACCCAAATGTAACTCGAGGTTATTTTTGCGGGAAGTCGCATAGTAACCCGCGTCTTGGGAAGCAGAGAAAACTTATTAAAGAGTCAATAACGACGAAAACAGAGAGCGGAAATTGTTTCTGTATCCTTGTTGTCTAAAGTAGAATAATTAATTAATTGTCATATCCTCATATATGGAATATAGAGAAAGAGAAATTAGGCGACAGGCCAGCGAAACTCAAAGAAAAGGTAACAAGAACACATACGACATTCCCTCTATCGTGTAACTAGGAAGTTTCTGGGAGTTTTACGTTGTAGTCGTGCAAAGCAAAGGCAAAGAAATGTACAAAAAAAGTGTTCTGCACGTGCAAAAGTTGCTTTTTTGCTAATTAGACCTATTGTTGTTTTTTCACTGTCCTCGTTGCCTTCGCCGCGTAGCATTACACGATTTTATATTTTGTTTGAGCAAACTATAAATATTATCGAGAGCTTCGATTTTAGCCCTGGCTAGATCTATATATTATAATCAGGATAGCCTTCGAACACAATTGTGAAAACTTGGATCACAAACCTACACTTGATCCTTGAGAGTGCCTAAGTTATACTGTGGTAAGATCGCCTCATAACTGATATACTTGGGTAATTTAAAAAGAGTTCTGGGTATATTATGTCGTCCTTAATAATTGGCATTTTCTAACTTATCTGATAATGTCTGATTAATTCCAATCAAGAGAGGGCGACAAAAGTTGCCAAATGGGAGCGGCTTTGCCCCTCACTTAGCTCTGTTTGCGTGCGCGCAGCAAAACCGTTAACTACGCGGGATGTTCTTGGTCCGCAACCACATGCCAAAGCGGCCATGTTGGTGGTCAATTTCGAAGAATTTACACGAAAGTGAGTTTAGCTCCCAGACGAGAGCAATGCTTTTGTTCTTGACCATTGTTCTTGACCACCTCTGATGACATGGCTGCCGTGACGTCACGTGCAAACCAGCAATTTTGTTAGAGTGGGAACACATCAATCAAATGATAGCCATTATGAACGAAAACACACAACTCCATGCCGTGGTTTAGATTTTCTCGGGGCTTTCCACAAGAGTTGTCCAAGACTTCCCTTAATTTTGCCTGTAATTGTAATGTTCGGAATCGAAGTCGTCGGGACTGTGATCTTTGTTTATTTTTCCAGGCGAGCAGAGATGCCAGCCTCCGGAGATCTAAAATCTGGAGACTCTCTCTTTTACACTACCCCCCCCCCCCCCCCCCCCCCCCCCCCCCCTTTGCCTTTATGTGTAATTTGGCGTACTGAAGTCGTGGGGTGTTTGTTTTTTTTTTTTTTTTGCGCGCGCGCAGGGAACCCCCCCCCCGGCGATCTAAAAACTTGGGGCTCCCCTTTTTCCCCCACCCCCCCCCCCCCCCCCCCCCCCCACACACACACACACACACACACACACACACACACACACAGCTCGGATGTCAACGCACTCCCTCCGCCCACAAATTGTTCGAGTTCCCACGGGCCTCTGTATCAAAACGAGGTTAAGTGCTTAGCCTTTGATAAGGAAATGATTTTTCATTTTCATACAAATAAAACTCATTTTCACAAGAAAGGCTGTGCACTTGGCGTCATCTTTTTTGACAGGGGAACGGCTTAGGATATTATATGAAGTCTTACATGAGGTACATACCATCAAAAGTCGCTTTGTAAAAATGACGAAATAATCTTGGTCAGTGACTAAATACGTGCAAAAGTGACCCAGAAACCGTACACCGAATAAAAGAGGTTCGAATTTTGAGAAAAATGAGCTAAATTTCAAACTATTAAAAGCACAGAAAAGCTCAACGGTCCATTTTATTCGGGAGATCTGGTGACTCGTACTTGGCATATATGCAAGTGATGTATACACCTCTACTAAGAGGACAGCGAGGAAAAGGTGGGTATCTGCTCAAGACAGGCCTCTCTGTACTCTCATTCGGGTCCAGAAAATACTAGGTTATGGAGTTGCATTTCATGAGTACATACAAAGACATCTACGTCGTGATCAACTCCGATCGTAGAGTGTTATCATGTTGTAGGTCTTGTAATAGACTAGTGATTCCAAAAAAACTTCAGGCAAAAGATGCATTTCGTGGCTATGATAAAGTGGGGAAAACGTTGTGGTTTCATTTAAATTTAGAATACATTGCATTTACAACAGTCACACTGGATTCAAAGTTCTAAACTAAGTATGTTAAAGGGGTGCAATTTGTCGATAGAAGGTACACGAAAGGGGTACCTCTTCTGTCCAAAATGGTATATTTAAGCAATAGACCACACTTTGTATGGGTTTCCCGGCGTGATAACCCACTTGGGATGTTGGAAGAACACTCGAAAAGCTTGTAAATCACGAGCCGAAGGCGAGTTTCGGCTCGTGATTTACAAGCTTTTCGAGTGTTCTTCCAACATCCCAAGTGGGTTATCACGCCGGTAAGGCCATATAAAGCCGTGGGGTCTATTACTTTTATAAAATGACATTAAAGCATGTTTCAGTTTTCAATGAGTTTACCGGCACAATAAACCTTAGGTTTTTAACCAATCAGAACGCGCGTTCTATCTTAGCTATTTTTTAAAAAAAGAATAATGGATTGGACCTTGGGACGGAGCCTTCCTGTATAAAACTTTGTTGATCGAGTACTTCCTGAAATTGAGAGACTCTCAATTATTCAATGTGGATTCGAAATTGCCTTACTCCCGGCAAAAAAATGTTTCATATTCTTTTGTTTGCTTTACTCTGAAGTTAAGAAATGACCAGGGTCAACCTTGTTGGTCTTAAAAAGTAGCTATGTATAATAAAGTTGAGTAATATGACTTAAGCCCCCAAAATAGAAGCAAATACAACTGTTAATTATAACAAACAACCAACACACTTTATAAAACGTCACAAACCTTTATTGACTACAGTCAGCTTTGAACTAATCATACACTAGAAAACCTCTGAGCATATAACTAATGACAATCCTTTTTTTGGATTTTTTTCAGTCTTGTCCTTTTTTGGTGTGCAAATCCAAGCCGCCACACAAATTTGCACTTTTTGTTTATGTCGGGTTTTTCTTTCTCTTGTTAAGTTTTAAACTTTTGTGTTTCTTTTGAGTTTCTTGTATTTTTTTTATTATATTTTTTTATTGCTAGTCCTTTCTGTCCTACCATTTCCTTTCGATCACGTACACAATAGTAACTCATCTCATGTTACGAAAATCACACTCTTCACGCCAAGGTTCGAAAATTCTGTTGGATTTCTTTAAAAACGGCCCTAAATTTCTTTTTCGTTTTATTCAGATTTCGAGATTTCCACCGCATGATGTTGACATCTTTACTTTTCGCAGTCGTAGCATAATAGACATCTTAAGCTTGAATGTTTTGTTTTCCCAATACATGTAGAGGTCCCAGGAGAACATGCCGCTGTGTCTTTTCATAAATCATGCGTACTATGCACGTGAATTAGACAAAATTCAGAGATAGAAGCAGTTCTCTAGAGTATTTTCACATGACCTGTATTGGGAAAACAAAACATACAAGCTATAAAGAGGTGTACTGAGCCATATTGTTATTCGTAATCTAACCGCCAAAAATCAACAACAGGTGTAAAAAGTTGATGTGTTATCTAATAAACCTTTGATCAGTTTCTTCCCTTCTGTTCAGCAATAATTTTTCATTTTTTTTTTTGGTATTTTCCTCTTATATTGTAGTTTGTGTACAATAGTTGTCCGTCCGTTAACCATAGTCATGGCTCAAGCATAATAGTTGAACTTGACAAAAAATATATATAGCCGGTGAGTAAAAGGAACCACTTAATTACAAGGAAGGAAACTTGAAACACATAATACGTTCTTCTTTAAAAAAAAAAAAACAACTATATCTCTTCCGAGAAAACTGTACATTTTTCCCGCAAGACCAGACATGCAATTTTGACCTTTGGCCAGCGTACTGAAAGAAAGACCGCAGGAAAGGTTTGCTCCTGCAAGTAACAAAGCGTTTTTAACTATACAACTACGTAATTACTGTGGTGAGAAGATCGATGAAAGATGCTGAAGAATTTCCGCTCTTTTTCGTTGCATGGACAAGCAAGGATTGGACTCTAATTTCTGTTGACTGTAAAACTGATTATACCTTTCCTCCACTCGATGGCTGAACTCTCTCTGCGAAATAAATGATATGAGGAAACAATAATTAACTTGGCAGTTAAAGTAAGAGAACCTGAAAAGAAAGTTTGGAAATCTTAGAACTATTCCATTTGCACAGCTATATTCCTTTAGATTGCAAACAGTCTCTTTTCAGTAAAAATTAGCGAACTAGCCAAAGGGCCGTTATCCTCAGCGCGTTTGCTTCGTTCGCTTGACCTTACCATTCCTCATACGCACCGCATGTAACTGATTTTGAAGAATAAACTGCTAACATAACATGCAGCCGTCTAAAATTCACTCGAGCACAGCTGCACAGACATCGAGCAATGATAAGTAATTCTACCGCATTGTAAACATTGACTCAGTGAAGATGATAGCTACAATATGTACCCTGCATTTTGCAATCGGTGAAGGAATTGTTGATATTTTTCAGGGGCACCCAACAACGGTTTCCTCCTAAATACATTATAAGCGGCGCTATAGAATTTGTACTGTTCGGTCATTCTGGGGAACTGGAGTCTCTTCGAAATTACAAGATCTTCAGTATGATTTTCTAGAAAATTTAAGGTGCAATTTAACATTTTACGAGAGTAATAATTTTTCTGATTCCTCTCTCCATCACATTTCTGAATCCGAATATTTCAGGTTTCCTTTTTCTACGAAAAATAGCCTAATCTAGGGAGTGAAATGTGAAAAATTAATAGGGAATTTAAAGTGACTTTTTGGCTAAATTTTTCTTACAACCGTAGAGTAAATTTATTGCAAATTTTGCATTTATATATACACCCAAACAGTCGTTGGGCGTCCCTGATTTTTGTTTGAAAACTAGTTAAACTAGACTGAAACTAAATGCAGGAATTGTTTATTGTATTTGCCTTCTATCTGATTCACTAGTATAACAATAGGACCAAGGAAATGCAACCAATTTCCGCTTTCGGCTCTCGTTGGTGTGGTACGACGAACGAATAGAGCAAAGAGACTACACTGGAGACTACACTGGAGAAAAGTGCAGAAAAGAGACTTAAGGGCAATTCATAAAGATGATTAACTAAAACGTACCCAATTTCCCTTGAGTTCCATCATTCGTGGACAGAGTTCATCTGCTGCGGTAGAACACAACTCCATGGCAAGATGCGAACGGGTTTCACTCGCTAAAGCAATGGCTAAGAGTTCTCCAGCGATGACAACAAGCATCATGAATTCATCCCACGAAAATTTTTGCTTTCCACAATACATTTCCTCTTCAAACTCGCCCAGAACATTTCTGATGTCTTTGCTCGATTTTACAGAGGAAATAATGTTGGTGACATCAACTCGATCCCGAACTTTGTCAGTTAGCCTCGTTAAATATCCTGCTACTCTCCTAACATTTTGGGAACAACAACTTAAGTCTTGGCCTTGTCTTTTTCTTGCATAATAATCCAGAAGTATTTTTAGATCTCTTTTGATTTCAAATTCTGTCACCTTTTTTACGATATCCATCCTTCGAATTTTACGCATCAAGTCCTTCAGGTAATTAAAATCTTCCCACGAAAGTAGCCCTTCATGCTCTAAACAACGAAAGATTGATAAAATTTCAGTGTTAGTCTTCGAAATATGTTCAGTACATAAGCGACGAAACCTTTTTGTATGTTCTCTATCCAGATCTTTGGAAATCTGGAGCAAAACATACTGATAAGCTTGTCGAAGTTCGTCTGCCAAAGTCTTGGTGGTGGCGGATTGCATGGCGTCTGTAAAGAAAGCGAATAGAAGACACCTGACCTTTTATACCCCGAAACTTTGCATTACCATGCAACACAATAGACACGAAAAGGACGTGACGTTTCCCATAACAGCAAAACGTAAGCAAAACGTACTTACAGTAATGTAGTTATGTAAAATCATCAGAATTTTTGTTGGGGCCGGATCCCTTAGCTGGATTCACCAACACCCCCATGCGAGTCTGTGTTGCAACCACTAGTCTAATTTACTATAGTCTTTATCTACTTCCAGCCTCTCAGAAAAATAACGTAGTCTTAACTGTTTCATATCCCAGCCGTTATTAGTATGCACTTGATTGCGAAGATGATCTCAGCCGAGCATGACACCATTCTTTACCTCTTTCTCCCATTAGATATAAAGAAGAACTAATGTCTGTCTCTTGATCTCACATCGAATTCTGTCCAGGCAGTTCTTTGTATAAATATCCAAACTCCTTACTTCACGCAAAGCTTTGCCATGTTTGCCATTTGCGCCGTTGCGTGCATTTCTGGACATAAGTGATTTTGCCATGATCAACAGACCTGTAAGTTCGTCCGTCCGTTCGTCTTGATTGCTTGAAGGAAGGTATTTCGTCCTTTTATACCCTAGAATCTTTACCCTTACCAAAGGAGGACATCTTTGACGTACGTTTATTAAAAATAATCCAGGAAACCAGCTGTGTTCAGTACATTTTGCTAGAAGGCCAATTAGTAATAATAATCACACGTTAGGGAGGTGCAAGGTGCTGTAACCAGGGGTAATATTATTCCATTTACATTAGAAAAACCAGAAATATATGTTCCGTTTGGAAAATAAAATTGATGGCGTCATTCCGTTTGAGAAGCTTCAGAAAAAATGGGCTGTGATAGTAGCCACGTTCCTGCTGAAAGGGCGGTTGTACCAAATGATAGGGAACTTAAGATAGAGACGATTTGGGGGCGACGGCGACCGGACTGGCAGAGCAATCCTGGAACAGAGATAGCCGTCGCTTCCCTCCAAAATTGGAACATTAAGATCGCAGTGAAGTCAGGAGGACGGCGCCTTGAAAGACTACCGAAGAGGAAAATATGGCTTCACATAAAGAACTAAGAGAATGAATGCTTAATTGCTTGCATGCAACAACAACAACTTTATTTCAGTATTCCCACGTTAGTACGTGGTATTACCAACTATTCTAAACAATTTTCAATACATGCGTTTCATTTATACGATACTCTAAAGAAAAAAGTGAGCTAAAAACACACAATTAAAATATCGGAGTTCATGTTTTTTGTCCGGATACTTTCATTTGGCTCGTAGGACAATTTTGTCCATGTAAAGCTCACTTACGGTTTGCTGTTTGCCATATTGGATCAGATTGGATCTTGACTCTGTGACATAAAACACAGAAACATTATAAAGATGTAAGTTTGGATAACAGAACTTGGAAATCGAGCTTGAAATGTGACTCAAAGAAAACAAGGACAATTTAAGAACGATAATCTGCAAAATTCTGGTTGCTAAATGCAACAAACCTGATTGAAATGAAAGTTAAATACTCACGTTCTCGCCACAAAGCCAGACAGACCAGTCTCACGTCGCCGACGGGAGCACGACAGCAATGTGGTGAGCAAAAGCGCACAAATCATGACGTCACGTCCGTTTGAAGTATCATCCGACGCCGACCGCATCCGACGTTGAGCTAGCCTGAGAGTGATTGTAAACAAGATGGTATTGTTTCTGCACTAACTCGCATAACTCTTCCTGAAAAATTATATTAATTTTTAACTGAAAACACAAACCTTGGTTGCAACATAATACTTAAACCTAACGTTTACCTGGAAAAATTAACTAAATTGGTACAAGCGCTTGTTGACTGGGCTTTCTACTGGTTTCACCTTACGAGGTCTTTAACCTTATAATAGCAATGAAACGAGCGAAAGAGAAAAAAACCAGGCCCCGGTTGTTGAAAAGTTGGATAGCGCTATCCACCGGATAAATCACTATCCAGTGGATAAGTATTACAAAAACCAATTGCACTATCCACTGGATAGTAACTTATCCAGTGGATAGTGTTATCCACCTTTCGAACAACTGGGGCCTGATGTAGTGATTTTCAGTCAGTTGGGCAGAATCGCGGGCTCATCTGGGACTCCTTCCCTGTGCAGCCCGTTATTGCTTACAGACGTCACGCAAGCCTTCGTGACCTTTTGGTACACTCCACGCTACACAGCAACACACCTCACACGCAACAACCTGCCGGAGTTTACAAATGCAACCATCCACGCTGTCTCACCTGTCCTTTTCTCTAGGAAGGCCGAGCAAATTACATTTTTACCGCAACTATTGAACAAAAAAAAATCATTGACTACTCATCCTGCAAATCCAAAAATCTTATCTACTTAATTTAATGCAAATGTAAATGTCAGTACATCGGAGAGACCATTAACGTCAACTAAATGAACGATTTGGAGAACGCCGCCAATCCATCTCAAACCACAAGCAACTCAATGATCCCACTTCTGTCTCCTTACATTTTAATCACACTGGACATTCAATCAACGACGTCATTCTAATCCCACTTGAACTCATACGCAGCAACCGTGATGCAGTGAGAAAGGTTCGAGAAGCTCATTTAATACACAAAAAGTAAAAACACTACAAAAAAATAGCGACACCTGTTTCAGTTTATTTACTTAAAATTGAATATCATTTTTCACTCACCCAACTTCCCTTCGGTAGCTTAGTAATCCGAGAGCAGAGATCTTCAGCCACTGTGTAAGGCAGCATCATAACTTCCTGCTTCTGGTGATGCTCTTCATTCGCCAAAGCCACGGCAAAAATTTCACCGCTGATGACGATAAGAAGAGTTAGCTTACTCCATGGATCAGACAGTTCTTGGTCACAGTTATCATTAAACACAAGCATGAGATTCTTGATATCTTCTCTCGACTCCCCCAACGAAGATCTGACCCTTTCCGTCCCTTTATACCTTGGAATATTTAACAGTTAATGAATGAGGCTGAGTATCTTATGAAGAATTATGGAGATCGAGGAGGGTGTTATCCGTCGAGGCCGTAGGCCGAGGCGGATAACACCCTCCGAGATCTCCATAATTCTTCATACGATACGAAAGCCGAATTCAATAACTGTTTTATTATTCATTCAAAATAATTCCTAGTTTAAAAACATAGCTAAAACATGCTTACCTCCATCGATCCATCGATGTTCAGTTCATCTTCGATAGTGTACGTTTAGGTTTGTCCAGCTCCACAAATATTCTCCAAATAGCAGATGGCGCCCTTCGAGTTGTCTTCTTGTTGTTCTTGCCATGTTTTTAGCTATTTTTTTCGCCTAGTTCTTACTCTTGAAACCAGTGAAATGTCCGCCATTTTTTCAAGTTCACAACCAAAACAACTCAACCTCGTCCCCAGGTCTTCTCGGTTAACGGTGCCTTAACCTGCGAAAACGCTGCATTTTTGACGTCATTTCCTCGTTAAGGTTAAATTTCTTCCAAATTTGGTCATCAATAACTGGTTATGGTGAATTAAACGTGTGCTTTTAGCCAATTAGAATCGGGGAAATATTTTGAATGAATAATAATCATTAATAAAACACAAGGAAACTCCCTGACGTCATTTTTGTTTTTTGTTATTCTCTTAAATAACTATTGCAACCAATGTATTATTTAAGACTCGTTGCTTCAACAGTTCAAGCTCATATGCATAGTTCAGATCATGGTTAATTAGGGCAAGGTGGAGGGAAATTAGAAGATTTGTATTAGAATTCAAAGCCAGCTAATTCTTTCTGAATTCATATATTTGATGCTTACTCTTTGAAAAGAGTAACTTACGAGTTCAAAGAAACAATACACTAAATCTGGACTGCACGGTCCGTGAAAACCTTTTCGCGCGGGTCACTTTCTAAGACTTGACCGAAACCAGAAACCGAGCATGAAAAGCCTCTGGAACCCAGGGCTTAGCTCCCAATATGTAGACATATTAACTATTAAATTCTGCAAACAGAATACAGTTAAACCTGTATTAAGCGGACACCCTCGGGGAATGCGGTAGTGTCTGTTTAATACAGGGTGTCCGCCTAATACAGGTTTCGATAGATAACGTCATTTGAGGTGTCAAATGTCACTCAAATGAACAGTGGAAACGTTTAGCTGTACTCCCAGAGACTATGACGATATACATTTGCATCACATCGGTGGTGTGTAAAGTGTGTGAAATGATAGTAAGACAGCAGCTTGTTCAGTTTTGGATTTCAAACGAGGTCTTTTTTCCGGAGCAATTTGGCTTCCTGAAAGGGAAATCTTGTCTTTCTCAATTATTATCATCGTTTCACGATTGGGCCAGCGGAAGAAACAAAGGCTTGACAACTGATGTTATATTTTTGGACCTTTCAAAAGCTTTTGACTCGGTGCCACATGAACGCCTTTTGACAACGATACACGCATATGGTATCCAAGGTCCACTCCTGTCTTGGCTTAGAAGTTTTCTCCCCAATCGATACCAGCGCGTTGTTCTGCGGGGACATTACTCATCTTGGACTTCCGTTTTGTCTGGTGTACCCCAAGGAACTGTGCTGGGACCCATTTTATTTTTAATTTATATTAATGATATTTCAGGAAACATTATGTCAAGCACAAAACTTTTTGCAGATGATATGAAATTGTATAGGATACTCAGGGATACTAAGGAAGATGTTGAAGAGCTACAGAAAGATCTTATTCGCCTGGAATCTTGGAGCCATGTCTGGCAGCTGAAATTTAACACAGATAAATGCGAAGCGATGCGCATTTCTAAAAAAAATGATTACTCAAGTCCTCAATACCATCTATGTGGTAACCAATTAAAAGCTGTATCTGAAGTTAAGGATCTCGGAATCTATATTACTTCGAACCTGTCATGGAGTATGCAAGCTAACAAATGCGCAAATAAGGCAAATAGTGTGCTTGGATTCATTAGGCGAACGGTGGGTCCTAAAAATCCTCAGTTGTTTTCAAAACTTTATAAGAGTCTAGTACGTCCGATACTCGAGTACTGCTCTCCAGTTTGGTGTCCGCACCTTAAAAAAGACTTAAACACCTTGGAGAAAGTACAACGTAGAGCATCTAAATGCGCCCTTGGAAATATTGGGCAAGACATGCCTTACGAAGAACGCCTAAAGCTCCTTAAATGGCCATCACTTGAACAAAGAAGATTATTTTCGTCGCTTATCGAGTGTTATAAGACAATAAATAGACTTAATGGACTTGATCCCTCGGCATTTTTCACATTTGCACATGGTTTTCGGCCCTTAAGAGCCAACCATAGTTTTAAACTTAAGCTTACATCAGCAACTTTAAATAGTTTTAAACATTCTTTTTTTATACGCATAATAGATAAGTGGAACAATCTTCCAAAGGAAGTTGCTGAGGCGGAGAATTTGAATATTTTCAAGAACAGACTGAGACGTTATCTTACAGATTTTCCTAGTGAACACTAAGTTCTTTTACTGTGTGATGTTTTATATACATATATAGTTACTATTTTAAACAGTTGTAAATAATTTATTTCTTAATGTATTTTATTATCAGGAGATAAACTAGAAAGGGATAACCTCTTTTATCTCCTTTTCACTTTCCGATTTGGATTTGTGAATAAACAGTTATTATTATTACTATTATTATTATCAATTTCTTAATTGTAAATAATTATACGTGCGGCCTTTCATACATTGCCTCTATTTTATTTGCGAACGGAAATTGCACGCACGTACGCACGTAAAAATTATATGACAGTGGATAACGACAATATTCTGAGAAACGTAACGCCTTAAAACACCACAAAATAGGATTTCCCCGCTATAATATTTTCTCATCCTACTTGAGGATATTTCCTTTTTAATCAGTGCCTGCATGTCGTGCATAATTACACGAAAATCAAGGGCCTCCATTCGAGGAAAATTACATCATTGCCAAACTTAGATGCGTCATTTCAGTCATCGCCGAAAATATACCGCATGCTTACCACGCGACTCATTTGCATACAATGAAAATCGCCACGATTCTTATCCCCAGTTTCCACGGTCTTCGCTTAAACGCGTGGCCTACAAAAAGGTCCCAACGACAAAAAAAAAAAAAGAAACGACTGCATTTTTAGAGTCTCGCTCTGCTAAAGCAAGCTCGACTAAGAGAAAGGCGAAAGGCGACACGCGGCGGCGTGGCGCCTTTTCTCGCGTGGGATAATTTTCACGCGCGCCCGCGTTTCGCTCGCTCTACTATCCCTGAGGAAAAATGGGGACTACTCGTAGTCTACTAAAAATATCCGCGCACTCTGATTTTAGCCCTGACCTAGAACTCCTAACACCCACAGAATCACGCCACACCACGTGTCTTCTGGGGGGCAAGAGTCCAAGAGTCAAGTTGATGTCTCGCAGAGAAAATAAAGAATTGGCCAAAACCAACCTAAAAAACATGGACAAAACCATGGAAAAATTACAGCATATCGGATTTATAAAAGACCTACGGCCCAAAAATTCATCAAGTACAAACATTAACCACAAGGGAGTGCAAAGGACCACAAACGAATATGCCAAAGAACGCAGGATCTGTAAAGACCTGATATGTATTTATTATGTCTGAGGTGTCTTATTAAAATAACATGACCCGATCTCGTGGTCTTTCAAGTTCCCGGATACAATGAAGAAAAGAAAGTGAAGTGGAGTTGTGGCATGGCGAAAAGCGTTGGGCTATCTGTCGGGCTGAAGCCATCTGGCTTTCCAAGCTCCCAGCAAGTCGTGTTTAAACGTTTTATCTTAAAATTCGTTCAGTCCTTGTGTAAGGATGATCGTACAGCATTTAGATATTGGTGCAAAGAATTAATTCCAGTGAGAGATGTGGGTAGAAAGGTCGATGATGATGATGATATTTTTAAGTTGATTGAGTTGTTACAAGATCATAATCAGTTGTTGCTTGATGATATGTTCGTACTGAAAACATTTTTGTTGGGTACTCAGCGGTGTGATTTGCTGATTGAGTTAGAAAAGGCAGAATTAAGTATCGTGGTTGGTAAAATCTTGGAGCATTATAAGGTTTTTTGTTGTCAACGTAGTGATGGTGGTGACTTTTACGCGGAAGTTGTGGGGTTACTAGTTTCGAGGATGCCTCGAAGGTTTGAACACGTACGACGAATTTGCAGTGACAAGCGTGTATTACTTTACCTGGATGGCGTGATTCGTGAGTATCTTCTGAGTAATGGGTGTACCTGGCCGAAAGTAACAGCTGTTCTGGTGATTTTGGCCGAGCTTTCAGTGGAGGTAGATGACGTACTAACATGCATTGACTTGCTAGCAGAGAGTATGCACACACTTGGAGGAATGGTAAGAGTTTATAATAGCAGTTACCTTTAGATTCTAAGGCGACAACGAATATGAGTACGAGGTTTTCTCAATATTTTTCTACTACAGTAAGCTTATGTGTATGGCGTACGATCCCCGCCAAAATTCATGGTTTGAATTTTAAATTGCTCATTTAAATTTTCAACTTCAAAACTTAATTTTACAGCTAAATTCAACATGTTACACTCTTCCTTTAGAATTCACATCATTGGAATTTACACTTGTCTTTAAGCTTTTGAACTCAACTTTTTTCATTTGACCTTGTTCGCTGTACATTGTACAAACAAATTTTTATACACTGCTACTTTTTATTAGGTTTGATGCCTGAACCAGTACCATACAATTGACTGAGACGCTAATTTTGCATTCGATGCTCACTCACCACATTTCGCCAGTCACAGCGTCAAATTTCAAACTCAACATCGAATTTTTGTTTACGCTTCAGTGATCATTGGTCGAGACAAAAGAATCTTTTGTGGCGTGGGAGGTGGCAACCTATGCGCCTCGCCGCCCCCTCCTCAAAGTTTCTTGGTTTGATTTAAGGCGGCTCCCTAGAGTATTTACTAATGACCCTAGCTATCTAGCATATGTTACAGAAGGAAATCTAGTTACTTTGTCTTTGCTATTTTGTTCATGAGAATCACCACTAAGGTTACCCATATAAGAAGGCTTCTGGATTAAGGCCATTGCCATGGCAACATGACATGCCTAGACAGGCAGTAATTTTGTCATTTTTGATCATTTTTTCTTTCTTTTTCTATATTAACGATACTGCTTAACATTTTAAAGTGGAAAAAACATGGGGTCATTCAGACGATTTTGCCAATATTTTCAAATTTGTAATTGTTCTTAATAGAGGAATTTAGCTCTTACAGATTTTAACAAAAAAAGGACAGTACAAAGGTACCGCAACTGTTAAGAAATGAGGCCATTTTTAAAAAAAATTACTGAAGGAAACACAAGAATTTCACGGTTAATTAACTGCGCTGACGTAACAAAAATCCGAAAAACACGCGTGGTTTGGGGTCGTATGAGCAAATATGCGCGCGAGCCGTCACGCCCGCATGCGCATAAAGCACATAGCTACTGAAAACATGTGGTTTCTTCGAAAAGTTTGAAAGCCATTGATAAAGCCGTTTATTAGTATTATTACGGTGATATCTCGCCAGTTGAAAAAGGAGAGATAGTGGATTCAATTTTACATCTCATGTTCAATGGATGTTTTTTTCGAAGTACTTGACTATTGTAGCTAAAATTCGAGCCGTGGTGGTCAATCGTGCGGATTGCGATCATTGGAGATGGAGACGGTGGTTGTGCAAGATTTGCAATAAGCCCTTCATTTCGTAATCTGGTGTACACTGTTTGCAGATCTTCAAATGTCAGCCCACTTCCGGATACTTTTTCAACCTTGTTCTTCTTTAGGGATAATTTCAACGGTGAGGTTTTTCTTTAAAAGTCTGCTGTAAAAGATGGCGCCGATATAAAAAACATACATCACGTCCTCAGCTGCACGTACAAGACCGTAGTTCTCGACGGACAACTATTGCTTTCGTCAAGGGTCAACCTGTGACTCAAAAGTTATTTTTCGTTGTGCAAAAAATTTTTCTAGTGCATCTTGCATGTGCATTGAAGAACTTTTGAAACAAGAAAAAGTGCTAGGACGTTGGTTCATCGATGAAAAGGTTCCTTCGATTAGGATGCAAGTTAAGCAGGAAACCTTTTTTCTGATAAGTTTTTTAAACAATGTGATAGAGTCGGCAAAACCCCCAAAAATTTACACTGCCTGTAATCTTGCCTTAAAGCCACTTCTAGAATTTCTTAAATCAAATCAAATGTAAGAGAAATAAATTGACCGAGGAGCTCTGCCGGTGAAAACAATCTTCAGTGTTTGTTCGGGACTTGGTTCGATCTTTCACTGACCGTGAACAAAGGCTAGAAACAGCAACATTGCTTCCTTCAGGATTAGTATACTTACTTCTTTGTTTTGTTTTGTAAGGTTTCCATTCACCATTTTACTTCGACTATTTTACGTTTTTCTACTTTTGAAGGGAAATAATTGATGTCTTTTGAAAATTTTTGCTTCGTTTTTACATACAATTTACTCTTATGGAGATCGATAGTGACTTGTAACCAATGTAACATTGTCTCCTGTCATAAATGTTTGAACTACACTAACCAAACGTTTTGAACAATGAGCTTCAACAGAAAGTTAATAAAGTTTTTTTTAGAGTTCCAAATATTTCGAAACTGAGAGGCCATGTTTGTTTTATTTTTGCATGGACGTCATGTGGATTTTAAAGCTTGCGTCATACTAGTGCTCAGGTTGCGCACAGCCAATTTACTCTAGGGAGCCACCTTAAGTAGTATAGCGAAAACCCTAACCCTAAATAGAAGCTGACCATTAACCCTAATCACTATTCTATGTGCTTAACCATAATCAGTATTGTTAGCGCTTAACCCTAATCACTTTAGTCAGGGCTCACTCATATACAGCTATTTAGAGAAAAGTTGTCGGAAAAAAATGTGCACGTGACAATCCCAAATGGCAATATGGGATATGACCAATACACTGTTCCTGAAGACAGTAGCTGTCGAACCTACTTTTGTTGCTTTCCTTTAGCACTCGCAAATATATGTCCATGGTCTCTCGTGCTATTCTTTCAAATTTCTTTGAAGAACAGTGAACTCAAAACCGCCCACAATACCTATCGGGATTGTCGCGTGTCCTTTTCCCGACAACCTTTACCGAAATAGCTGTATATGACATTACTTTGTGTAGGCATCACAAGGTATCCAAGGGTGGTTTGAGATATGGAAACAAGCGTATACCCATAAACGTTAGGCACGATTACCAGCTGCTGTTCAGTAAATGAGCCCACACTCCTCCCCCAAACAAACGGCTGGATGCATGAGTTTGCTATCGTCAATTACCACCAATCAGATCTTTGCCGGCTCAAATCAAGCAGGCAACATAAATTTAATTTCAAACGGTGGATGCAAAGGTGTTGTTTGATTTCGTGTGCGATCATGTTTTAGAGGCTGCATTTTAAGCTTAAAAACCTAAAGTGTTTACAAAGAAAAGTATTAGCTTAGAGAAGCTGGAAAATGGTAGGTATGTTTTTGAAATTCAACCAACTGGAACTAGATCAATAATTATTTTCCAGTCTGCGACAATGGTTGTTGACAGCTAACGTGAAGGAGATGTTAACTTACGGCATTTGAGTTCGTTTTGTTTTGGATTAGTGGCCACATAGAAGCAATGGTCCCACCCGGAGGCTAGGCTTCATTTAGAGGGCATTATGTTTCAGTGCTGCACTTATCGATTACAAAAATTGATAGGCACTCTAACCGTTATTTTTAATGTTTTGTTTTGTTTTGTTTCAAACCAGAAAGCCTTCAAATTATTTGTCAACGATAAACTACATGTAAACCTGGACAGCGATGACTATGCGTTTTCATCCATGATGAAGGAATGTTTAGAGATCATTGGACGTGAAGTAGACAAGTAGATTATTGTCTATCGTTAATATGGTTATTACACCGGGATTACATTATATTTACATATATATTATTATAACATACCAGGACCCCTCTCATGGACTGCCACCTTGCTGTGGTGGAGGGGCTTGTGTGTCTCTGTGATCCTGCGAACTCAGCCGGCAGAGGCTTAGCCTCTGGCAGGTGCAACCAAGCCGGAAAGATCAATGGGGAGAGACCAGACAAAGGGCAGCCAAAAACAATAAAACAAAAAAACAATTTTTTTGGCAGAAAGACAAGATATCTTTTTAGTCTGTAAAATGTATAACTTCATTCAAAATTGAACGATTTCAATGATCATGATGATGTAGATTATTGTAAATATGTTATTTGCAAGCTTAATGATACTGTCAATTGTAAAATTGATAATTGTACTGAATCTTGTAAAATTATTTTATAAAGAATCACTTCCTTTATACTGATGAACCTATTAAGTGAAAATTCAATGAAAATAATGTTGTAAGTAATATATTATTAAAGTCGAATTTTGAGAAATATTGTGAAAGTAGAAAAAACATTACAATATTGCAGACTAGGGCTGTCAATAAAAGCCGGTAGCCGGCCAAAACCACTAGCTACAGTAGTTAGGTATCCTTAGGCGGCTAATTGGCTTAGCATCTTCTTCTACCACAACTGCTAACAAAAAATTAAGCACCATCGGATAAAATTGTAAAGCAACTGTTTCTCAGTTTTGAATGACATTGAATACATATTTTTATAAAAACAGGTTTAGATCTGTGAAACGTTCAAACCATGCAATGTCGTGGAATGCATGGGACGGGAGGGACATCTCGACGGCATTGTTTGCAGTCTCTTGTGCGTATTCTGACAAAACAACATGGCGTCCCCGGTGGAAAATACCTCTTGAAACCCCTGGAAATGCCATTTCCGAGACTCTAATTTTCAAAACGTCCCTAGATGCCTCAGTCCTCAAGAACTTGTGCCTTTGGCGCAACTTCCAAAGCTGCCTACTATTCATTATCAACCTGCCACTTAAAAACTGTTTGACAGCCCTGGATATTGTCATCTTACTATGTGTGGTGTTTAATTTATTTTGGTGCAACTGTATGGACCAATTCAAATACACTGATTGTATATAAGTGCTGGGTAAAATTCTTTAAGTCTTCTGCTGAAAAAGAAATGCAAATGTCAATAACATAGGATGGTGATCAGTGAGGCCATGTGGAAATTATAGATCCACAAAAATCTTACCTTATCCATACACAATAATAAATTATTTTGTTCTACTGCCTTGTGGACTTTAATGCTTGATACAGTCAAGCATCTCCTTATAGACACCACCATAATGTAAACAGCTTTCATTACGGACGCTTCATACAAATCTCCCCTTTGTAATACATGTATGGACACCTCTATTGTGTGGACACCTGTTTAATTTACTTACCAGCTGGAGCCTGATTTATTTATTTTTATGGTTTTTACATCCATTACTTACAACGTAGTACTTTATTTCTTAAATTCAAAGGCAATCAAAGCGGAGATTAAAGTAATTAAAAAAACTTCAAATAAGGTAGCTTAAGAGGAGAAAATTATTATTATTATTATTATTATTATTACTAGGAGTAATCGGAGCTTTGGAGAGTGCGTTCGATATGTTTGTTGAGGCGGAAGGGTGGTTGCGATGTAGATAAACATGATTATGGCATATTTTGAACGTAAGGGTTGCGTACAGCGAAACCTCTATTTAAACTGTGTATCACTTTAGGAACGTTTTCAAAAGATATCGTATGGTTCGGTGTCAAGTGTTTTTAATCGGAGGAGACATTGGACAGCGCCGGACGTGTAAATGGAACATTTTGTTTTACTGGCGCGAGTTACAGGGCGCAGTTTCTCAAAGGCCGATTAGTTCTTAACCCGGGATTCTTTTTCTTTCTTCAAAAACATTTCTTCGGATAATTTTCTCTGTTATTTTTAACAGCATCCAATCATCAACTTGTTGACAAAATGAATTACATTGAATTTACTGGTTTAAAAGCTTTCACATCTGAATTCAAACTTCGCACTAACCCTATCAAAACCTTCAATGGAACAGGGGCACCCAACGAGGATATAGTTCAAGACCACTTAACATAGCATTGGTGAACGTATTTTAGTATTCAAACGGTAGATATAGGCATATTTTTATCCCCTAAAAACTTTTCATCTGTTCGGATTTCCTAGCTGAAAGTCTAGTGATCCGAAAATTATAGGGATAAAAACTTACCTTCTCGAAAATTTCAGCCATGAAAAGGCTCCCGGAAATTCTAGGTGGCCTTTTTTAGGGTCAAAATCCGTTAAAAATGGGTAATTATACCATTTTGTAGATGTTCGAAAATCCTAGGAGAGGCAGGCAAGCAAGAAATTTTGCAACAAATGCTTCGAAAATTCTAGATCTCAAATCGTCTTCCGAACAGATATTTTCCCGAAAATTGCCGTTGGGTGCCCCTGATGGAACGTGTGTGCAGCTCACGTCAATAACTTTTCCAGTAATTTAGTCGAGCGTGTTAATTTCAGTGACTCGAGGATGGCGCTACTGTGGGCTGATTTATAAGTTTTTCCTAATAAATAACATAGAGTTAAAGTGTTCGTTTGTCCGGTGCCGAAAATATCACAAGTCATGGTGAAATGGCGCCGCCGAGCTTCACATCTCGGTAGATTTACTTTGTGGCACAACGGCTGCCGAGCTACACAACTCGTAAATTTACTTTGTGACAAAACGGCCGCGGAGCTACACAACTCGGTAAATTTACTTTGTTGCATAACGGCCGCCAAACTAAACCCGGTTTGATGCATGCACCAGTAGTCGCAGGCATTTTCCAAAGACAGTGACGAACCATGCTGAAAAATATGAAAGCTTAATCCAAACATGGATAATATAATGGAAAGACTGTTATCCATGATCCAAAGTAAAATTTAACAGCAAACTCCTGAAAGATGAACGCTTTGGACGATTCAGCAATCACAGATCGATGTACGCTTTACAAAGATTCAGCAAACTTTTTAAAAGATGAACGCTTTACGAAGAATCATCAGACCTTAGCAAACCTTTGAAAGATGAACGCCGAGGACACAAGAATCACCACATGAGTTAGCGCGTCAAAGTGAGGCAAAACTTAAGCAAGCGCCTCAAAGCGAGGCAAATGTGTGTCGAGGGCGACCAACGAAAATGCAATCTCAAAAAAACCTCCCTTATAGAGTGTTTTCACTCACGTGGCCAGCATCTATGCAAATTTATTGGAACAAAAGAAAGCGTTTGCATAAGAAAAGAGTTCACCTCCCAGAGGACTGGTTTGGGACACCAACATGGCCGCCGTTTCATTGTTTTGGGACACCAATATGGCCGCTGTGACGTCATGTGAAAACACTCTATTAATTGCACAGGTTTTCCCATAATGCACAGAACACCCAACACAAATTAGGGGTTGCGTTCTCGTACCTCGAACGCAATTATTATTACAAAAGAGGGATATTACGTCAGGTAGTAAAGTGAAATTTATTTGTCTTTTGGAATCTGTTCCTCTTTGATATCTTTAAAAAGTGGGGGTAGGGGGGAGGAAAGTCAACTTTAAGTTGTATTTTTGTCCATTTGGTGTCTGTGTCAAGGAGGTTTGACAATCAATTTTAATAGTGAGCATTTTAGCCAGAAATATTATTTTCTTCTCATCATAGCACTTAGTATAGCATTTCAGAGCATCAAAGATCATAAACATTTTCTGGGGTAGCATGCCCCTAGACCCCCCCCCCCCCCCCCCCCCCCCCC